AACAGCAACCTGGCCCTGAGGCTACCACTGTCACACAGCACACACCCCTCTTACACACACACACACACACACACACGAGCGAATAAGGGGTAGGGAAGAAGAGGAGATGGAGAAGGAGGTGTTCTATCATGGTGGGTTGATTTGTGTTTTACCAGAGGAGCAGAAGTTGGAGAATGGGAGAGGTAGAAAAAAAGAGGGAAAAGGAAAGAAGGAAGGATAAAAGGGAGGGCTGAGGATTTTGTTTCTAGTCAGAACTGCTGTTCTGATTTCCTTCCTGACAGAGAGGCCCAATTATTAGCTGTGGCAGTTTAGGGAAATTGGGCATACAGTAAGAGTGACGGGGCAGATCGGGGAACTGATAATTGTTCCATAGACGTCATCCAGGTCAGGTAGAAATCTAGCAGCAGGATTCACAAAAAGACTTGAATCATTTCTTTGTTCTCCTCCTCTCTCTCTTTGTGTGTGTGTGTGTGTGTGTGTGTGTGTGTGTGTGTGTGTGTGTGTGAATGACTCTGCCTGTATTTGTGCTGGCAGCATACATAAGAGGGCCCTCTGTGCAATCGGACAAGGTGCCGATATCTCAGTCATGTGACAGTGACTTCCTGTCTGTGTGTCAGACGGCCACTGAAGGCTCGTCAATACCAGCTCGTGCTCACATCCGTCCTCATCTCCACAAACACAAACTCACATCATGGCCAGAGGAGGAACATGAAACCACTCTCTGCTCCCTTCTCTCCCTGCATTTCATATGCAGGAAGACATTTCAACTTTTCATCCTGTCAAATGCTATTTTTTTACTCACCAAACTTTGTTTTCTCGTGAGATGTTTTTTCTATGAGGCGTAAAGGTCAAAGGTTGGATTGTGTTTTAGTCTAGTTTCAGTCAGTGTGATTGTTTAACATATTCTTCTTAGTAAATCAAAATGAATGTTTTATGGAGGTTTAACAGGACACAGCAGCCGCACAGTCTCCATCCATCCCCATATACAATTCCTTCAGTTGGCTCCGCAGCCGGCCCAGCACAGAGAGAGCAAGGGATGCTGTTTTTAAAAGGCCAACACTGCCCCCCTGTGGCTAGATTTCATATTAAAGTAATATGAGAAATCTTTCTGGGTTTACTCATAAATTCCATGTGTTTTGAGTTTCCTGAAAGTAGGACCGTGTGTCAAAACTCCAATCACAAAAACCAAGAACATACACACAAAATACAAACATACAACTCAAAAGCAAGCACTTAATTGAAACTATATCAGCTCTTCTTAAATGATATGCTACAATTCTACAATTCACTCAGCAGACGCTTTTATCAAAGCGACGTACATCAGAGAGTAAGAACAACACAAGCAAGGATCTAGAAAAAAGGGAACAATGTCAGTAAGAGCAAACGATCAGCTTTGAGTCTGATTGGACACACAGGTGCTGACAGGAAGTGACCAGAGGCAAAGCACAACATTGAGGGCAGTTCTTGAGAGCTCTAATCAGTATAGAAACCATCTTATAAGTCGTCGTTATCAAAGAAAAACCATCGTCATTACCATCATCATCATCATCATCAATAATATGGAGACCATCATCATTAAGTTAGTAGGTATTCATAAAGAGCTGGGTCTTTAGCTTTTTCTTAAAGGTGCAGAGGGACTCTGCAGATCACATGGAGTTTGGAAGTTCATTCCACCACCGGGGGGCGACAGAGGAGAAGAGTCTAGTCAGAGACTTAGGACCCTGTTGTGAAGGTTGGATCAGACGCCTTTCATTGGCAGAGCGTAGTGGGGGGGGGGAGTGTAGACCTGGATCAGAGAGTTATATATTTATCTATCCACAGCAAACTGCTCACAGCTGTTCTAAACCTAAAACATTAACATTTCTACTTTCTAATGATGTATGCTAAGCTTGAAAATTATATTACTGCATTTCTTTGGCACTTCATTTATCTCTTCCTCTAACCCTTTCTCTATATATTTTTATATTTTATATCTTTGTAATATAGCAATAAGTAAGGTCTTTTACCTGCTTTTGTAAAGTGTCTCGAGATAACACTTGTTATGAGTTGATGCTATACAAATAAGAATTGATTGATTGATTGATATTTTGTTGTGATGACACACCACAAAGCAAAGCTGACTCCTGAGCTCAAACTCTGATTTCTGTGATCTGATTGGTTACAGGTGCCTTCACATGTGCATCCGGATTTTAGGTGATTACTGATTGCATTTATGAATGAACGCATACAAGCTTTCAGTAGAGAAGTATGTCTAGTGTTTTGCATAAAGTGAGGCTGAGAATGTGTCTGTATCTGGGCTGACGTTTCGCTCCTTGTGTGTCAAGTTTCAATTTTGTATTTTAGTGTGTAAGCAATCATAGAAATTTTTATTCTGAAATAACTGAATTCATGGTAAAAAGGACAAATGACAAACAACTTCAACATGAAAATTATGTAATTTTTTTAAGAATCAAGACGCCTGCAAACAAACATAGAAGTCGATCAGTAATCCAGCAGCCTCGGCCTGCAGCATCAAATACACCTGTTAGGACTGACAGATGCCTGTTGCCTGTGACTACTACCCACTCGCTCTCCGCTTAACATTAGTCATTGATCGCAGCCAAGCCCCCACCCACCCCCCCACCCAACCCCCCCATCGGCAGCTCTAATTCATTTACGAACTTGTCATTCTACATCATTGATTAAGTTGTCCTTCATCCCAGCTTTAATTATATGCAAAGATAAAAGATTTTCTCATTATTGTGTTTAATCTAATGAAAGGCCTTGTGCTACAGCGGGGGGGCCGGTTCAGAGGTCCAAGACTATTGACCTTGGAGGGACACGGCGAGCAGATGAATGTTTTTAATTAGACAAAGCAAGCGGCTTCAGGAGGCAGAGCCTGAAGATTTCTGTTGGCATGGAGGAGCCTTACCTTAATGCTTCTTACTCTTAACATTCAGTGTCTATAGCTGAAGACTTTTCAGCGTTTAAAACACTGCAAAGACATCTGTGTTGAAAACTCTTTTGATTTAGTAATGAGTCATTCCAAATATCAATACCCTGATCTGTTCTTATACTGCTTTATTTCAGGATCTTTAGATGATCACTCCTGTAGAAAAACAATAAATCATTCCTGTATGATTATTTTGTTATTCACAACAAGTTGATTTTTACAGCTAAATGTTTTTCTGTGCTAGTTTTATACACATTGGGACCCACATTTGAAAGCTAAAGCAAATTGCTAATGAACCCCTGAACAACCCGACAGCAAGAACACAATGTAGTGTGTGTTTGTATTAGTGTGGCTGTGGAAAGTAAATTGATATGAGCAACAAATATCATCTTTGCATAGGCTGCACTGAGCTTGTTCTCTATTGTAGATTATTATTTTTGAAATCAAAATGTTTTGCGGGTGTGAATGAGAAAGAGACAAAAAAAAGTGATTTTCACACTTACATTCACAGCACAATATATTCAAAGTCAAAACTCACCTGAAAGTTAACAAGAAAATCGAACACAAAGCTAATTTAACTCCCTGTTGAAATCTTAACAGGGTCAAAATTCAGCAAGTTACTCCAATGACACGTCAGAAAAAATGTAAATTTATTTTTCATTATTGGAAACAATATGTTGACAACTTAACGCTCAAATATTGTCTTAACAATGCATAGAAATAACTAGTGTTAGGTGACTGGAATTACTTTTTAAAACTAATTGACATTAGATCAATGAGGTGCAACAGTGTTGTAAAAATAAAAAGACATTAAACAACAACAATATTATTATTTGGAAACATTTTCAGACGTTCAGCTCTTATCGAATTTTTCAAAAAATTACCAGTATGGATTTCAAAATGATCATCCCTATGATCTTAGATTCAAGTAACTTTTGGTCATTTTAAAACATGGTTTACTTTCATCATTCTTGCCTAAATGCACATCATTCAATAAAGTTATTGTAAAAAAAAGTTACAATTGACAGTGGAGTTACTGAAGACATGTGACACTAATGTGGGATTTCAGGGACACATCCCTTAAAGTGACAGTGACACTACAATTAATGTAAAAATAAAGTGTTCAAGTCTGAGGACGAGCAGATGTGATGGACAGATCTCACCACTAGAGGGCGGTAATGCCTCACATCAGCAACTACAGGAACACTATGATCATGTATTTTCTAGGCACTTATACAGATACAGATCAAATATTTACCACAGCAGCTTGTAAAGCTGTTTAAGGAATGAAGATCTACCAGTCTGTAAGTTATTTTTGACCCTTAAAGGCTTATATAAGGCAGATAAAGACTTTAAATGAACAAATCTGGTAAATTACAAATCACTCAAGTTTGTTATTAGGGCAGCTTCAATCCACATTACAAAGATTTTTATAAAAATAACAATTAATTTCTCTTTTATGTCAAGGTATTTCTTCTCTTGATTAAAGAGCCCCTTTTTATGTAGGGTTTCATGAAAAGACCACCTGCATCACTCTTTTTCAAATCAGCATTTTAATTGCTGCTTCAACAGCGGCAGATCCTTACAATCATCGATAGATTGTCCTTTATTTGAAATAATTAACCTCATATATGATACCTCGATTATATCAGATCACCTGGAGAAAAATAGAGTGAAAAATAATAACACCAGTAAAATGAATTTGTAAAAAAAATTCAGTTGTCTCACAGTCGCGTTACTAGTCATGTTCAAAATATTAAATCAGCCGACAAAAATCTGACACTAAAGCGAACACTTTCAGAACAGCAGCAACAATTATCACAAAGTTGTAAATCCAACACAAAGACAAAAGCTGTGATAAAAAACACTCTGGAGGACAAACATCCTCACTTCATCAGACTCTAACATGTGTTTGTCTGTTTGATCAGGGACAATAACAGCTCTGCACCTTTCTCACCTGTAGCTGATGCAGCCTCTGCACAGCTGACATATTATTGTGTCTGATGTCCACAAAACACATTGGGCTTATGTTGCACCCTTGAAATGAACCGGTCAGAACTCGTCCATCTTCACTTTTAGAAACTTTTATTAAAGAAAAATGCTCCACAGCTTTACACAAGCTTTGTTTTCAGCCTACACACACCTCTGTGTCTCCTTCACTGAGCCTCTCTTAAAGGGCCGGTGTCTTAATCATAAAAGGTAGACAAAATAAAACACACAGTATTTACTGTTTACTCTTAGAAATTCAAATTAACTTAAATACTTCTGGATATTAAATTAGTTTAACTAGACACACTGATATAACAAAATGACAGAAAAAAAATGTGAAAATGTGAAAAAGCATTTTTAGCATTTTACACTTATTTTGGAAAATCAAGTCTGTTCCTTCCCTGAGTTTGAACTTATGGTCACTTAGGAACTTGGTTTCTTTGACCCCCAACACTCTCATTGTTGTTTACAGAGAAATCTGAAGTGCAGTCAATGTATACTTTTTAACTGTTTGATAACTTTCTGTCACAGTTTTCTGCATTGAGTCGAGTTTCTCAACCTTAAAATCTCTTGTACTTAATGTGGCTTTTGTTTTTTCTTGCTGTAGTTATTACGAGTAGCCTCCACTCAGTGTGCCACACAAAGACTTGTGGTCACATGTTTACATCCATTCTCCATCTGTGTGCAGCTCGTTCAGCTCCAAACAACACAGAACCTGTTTGAGCTTTATTGTAACATCAACACACCAACCAACGTCCACCTTCCACTAGGTGGCGTCATGTACTCAGCATGGTGGTTCTCCTGTTTCAGGTTCATTCATACATGGACTCAGCCAGGCCCGTCTGCTTGATGGTCTCAGCCACCTGTCTGGAGTGCTGTATCTTAGCCGACAGAGCCTCCAGTATGTCGTTCTGGTCCACAGCGGTGGCTGTTCTGTAAATAAATGTCCCCATTGACTCCAGGCCGCGCATTCCCAGATTCACCCCACAACCTGGAAAGACAGACTCTCAGACATCATGCATGTGTGGCAAGCCTTTCCTGAAATTAATATATTGAATGAAACTTTGAATATATGGAATGAAAACTTGAATATATTGAATGAAGTCTGAATATATGGAATGAAAACTTGAATATATTGAATGAAAACTTGAATATATTGACTGACGTCTGAATATATGGAATGAAAACTTGAATATATTGAATGAAGTCTGAATATATGGAATGAAAACTTGAATATATTGAATGAAAACTTGAATATATGGAATGAAGTCTTAATATATGGAATGAAAACTTGAATATATGGAATGAAAACTTGAATATATTGAATGAAAACTTGAATATATGGAATGAAAACTTGAATATATTGAATGAAAACTTGAATATATTGAATGAAGTCTGAATATATTGAATGAAAACTTGAATATATGAATGAAAACTTGAATATATTGAATGAAAACTTGAATATATTGAATGAAGTCTAAATATATGGAACTGAAGCTGATTTCAATTCTCCAAATCCACCAGTTTCATTGTTGTCATCAGTTTCATTCAATGTATTAATTTCCTAAACGGCTTGTCATATACATGAATCAGGTAAAATATATTGTAGTAATGCACAGCCCATATTTATAATTAGAAAGTTGGATCCTCATTCTGCAAAAAAAATACTTAGCTGCATTCTTTAAGTCATTGTGATATCGTCAATGAAAAGCTGCTCATAAAAAAACAGTGTGCATCATGGGTAACAGAAGCAAATAAGGCCATTGGGTGCAGCAGTGAGTCACACACCTATTAATAACAAACATACTGCAAGCCTGGAAAACAACTTATTCTGTCCTTTTCCTCTGCGATGCATTTTAAACATGTGTACCTGTGTCAAAGCTGAGCACCCGTGCCGCCTCCCCCTCCACAGTGACCGCCACGTTGTCCTCCTCTATGTAGGCGGCGCTGATCCGTCTGTGCGATAACTGGATCTCAAAGAGACGCCGGCTGCACTGCATGTTGTGCAGCGTCACGTCACTCAAACGAGGTTCAATGTCGGTCTTGTAGGCGTTGAAGGACTGGTGGAAAATGTTCTTCATGATCTGGGCAGGGGGGAAAAAAAGAGATAAACCTAAGATGTTGATGATAACTTCTTAGATGAAGTTAAAGTCTTTCTATGTGATTTTTCACACTTAAATATAGAAATCAAGTATGTCCTCTGAAAATAACTCTGTGAGTCATGACTGTCTACAATGGGTGTAACACCCGAGTCCCACTGTCTGTGATGTTTTCAGAGTTTTCAGAGTCCTATCTTCAGTTTGTTTACATCGCCAGGTCGGCCGGCTGACTCCTCCCCTCGTGTATAAAAGTTGTTTAATTGAGGGACTAGAGAAAAGAAGAATAACATACTGTACTCACTGCTTAACTGTGTTTCTAGATCACGCTCATTTCAGGTAAATTTACATGCAGTGTGAAGATACCAGCATAATAAAGATGCTAGCATTAGCATGCTAACACAACAATGCAGCGCGAGTTGTTTTGGTTTCATGCTGGTGCTCAAGGGCGACATCTGCTGGATCAAAAAAATCACATATAAAGCCTTTAAACACTAAGGCTGTTGTGATTTATTTGTATAAAATACTCCCTGAAGATTACAACAAAACTTCAAGAAGTCAAGTGCAAAATAATAAAAGATGCACCATGACTGATCCCATGACTTATTCAAAGGGAGATACTGAACCAAGTCATTCATTATGGATAATATTGTGATTATTTTGCCATAAAACATGTGGAAAAAGGTTCTGTGGCTTCTGCTTTTCCTTGTCCTTTTTTCTGTCTCTACAGAGCGTGATATGAATTGACACAAAAACAGAAAACATGAAAAAGAAAATCTTTCCACCCTTTTCTGTTTTTCTCATTGACTGACGCATGTTTCTCTCTCTCTCTCTCTCTCTCTCTCTTTCTCTCTTTCTGCTGACCCCGTACTTACACAGTCATCTGTTACCAAGTAACAGTGCATCTGAATGGCCACCCACATAGCAACAAGAGCGCCAAGGAGAGGTCTTGCTATGTACCTGTGTGTACTGCACTACATGCTGTGTTTGATCAGAGACTTTACATAGAAACCTGGAGAACTGAAATAATAAGAAGCGCGGTACAGATGGCCTCTACACACACACACACACACACACACACACTAACACACTCAAACACTTTGTTGAGGTCTGACTTCTCCTCCCCCTTTTCCCCATTTCTTCCTCTGACGCTCTCAGCTAAACACAGGCGCACACACACACTTCCACAGACTTCACACAAACAGGCCGAGATATTCCGACACTAATGGACTCCAATAATAGTGCAGCAGTCAAAGGACATTTGCTGAATGAAAGATGAAGAGTACGAAGCAAGAATTATTATCAGCTGACTTTCCCTTTCAAGACGTAGAAGTACAGCGACATGTACAAAATAGAAGAAGAAAGAGGTCAACAAAGCTCGAGAAAGGATTTCATCTTCAGGGTCTCACAGAACAGTTGGCCGTGTGCCGGAGGAAGCGGACCATCTTGGACTCTGAGGCGGGGCAGACGAGGGCCATGTAGCGGTTTCTGAAGGTGCCGTAGATCTTCAGGTGGAAGCCGGGTTTAGAGGCGGGGTTTCGGTGCTCTCGCAGGGCCTCCACTCCGTACGCAGACAGGTCAAAGTAAAGGCTGTGGGATCGGATCTCAGGGGTAGGGACCTAAAGAGAAGAAAGAGAGAGAGAGAGAGAGAGAGAGAGAGAGAGAGAGAGAGAGAAAGAGAGAGAGAGAGAGAGAGAGAGAGAGAGAGAGAGAGGGAGAGAGAGAGAGGAGAGAGAGAGAAAGGAATATGAAGTCATTTCAGATAATATACAGTAACTATACAAGGATCACTTTATGAACATTTAGAATAAATCTACTAAATGGGTAAAATTCTATACATGCATCAGGTGGTTGTAAGACACTGAAGACACACATATCAAACAAAACCAATTGGCTATAGATCCCTTTAAAAATGTATTTAAAAATATTAAAAGTGTGTATTTCTGAAAGCAGGAAAGCGCAGATTAGGTGATGAAAGAGTTAACTTTTTGTACATCTTCACAAATTAAAAAATTTAAAACAGGAAATATGTCTTTTATGTCAGACCTCTGAGACCAGAGACATTGAAGTGATGGAATTTCCCTGCTGGAATGAATAAAGTATATTTTATCTTTATCTTATCTTAATATTTATTATTATATTATTTATAAATTTATAAATATTTATTATATATTATTATATTAATTTGCCTTTTTTTGTCATTTTTTGTCTTTTTACGTAAATATGTGAGGCCAAGTTGCAACAGGCATTTATTTTACTTTTCTTTCCTTTCATTGGACCACTCTCTCTTATAAGAAAGATTTGTTTTACCATGACCTTTTTTTGTCATGTCTCTTTAAAAGTCCCATATTCTTATCATTGAACGTCCATGTTTGCAAATTAATAAAATACATTTTGTTTGTGAAACTGTCATCACTTTAGTGAAGATAAAGAATTGTTGATTTTTTTTTTTTTTTTTTTTTTGCGGCTCCACATTTTCCCCCCAAAGCCAGAATTGATCCATTTTCTTCTCAATGACATAAAACCAGCCGATTGGGATCAGACTGCTTTTTAATGTAGCCGAGGGAGAGCAGCGACTGGGAGGGGGGATGGAGGAGACAGTGGGGTGGACCAGGTCATATCCTGGGAGGTAAATTCAATCACTACAGGAAACAGTCGGGAGAGAAGCAGACAATAAAAAAAACAGACCGCAGCCGCTGAAGAGAACGTGATGGGAATGGGTAATGGCGACATAAAATTAGATAAGGAGACTGTGCTTGTGTTATGATACCAGTTCACATCAGCCTGGAATCTTTTTTTTTTTTTTTCATTTCCACTCTGGATATTTTCTCCCAATAAACATGTCATCTAAACGATCAGTAAAATTATTAATATAGTTTCTGGTGATCCATCATTTGTCAAGTTTTGAATGCTCTGTGTGTTAAAACATATAACAAATGTAAAAAAAAGAAAAAGATATTATTCTCTTTTTCTATTTCTGTATCTGCAGCTTCTTCAACATTTTACAGTCAGAGAGACTGGGCTCTGTTAATTACTCTGAGTCATCTTTAGTGGGACCATCTGCTTTTATAACACCAGTTCAACTTTGGCATTCTGTGATGAAAACATTGGGACCGATATGTTTTAATATCTTGATTTGTATTTCTCCTGGCAGGGAACAGATTCTGAATGTGGCCAAGGTGATGTAACAAATCTCAAGCCTGATTATCCTCCATCACCTGAATCCATCAGACAAACAGCTGCTCTTATCAAAACAAAACTCAAAATCTGTTCTCCAAAGCATATAAATAGTTATTTTTTTGTATGTGTGTGTGTGTGTATGATCACTTTTGTGGTAACTGATGTTTGCTTTGTCGTGTGTATGAATTATTAATGACTGTGGAAACACTTTCTTTCTTTTGTATGCTGTGTTTTGATGTGTGTTTTTAAACTCAATGTAAAGCACATTGAGCTTATCTGTAATGAAATGTGCTATATGAATAAAATTGCTATTTACTATTGCTAGTGTAACGTGAGGGTCCAATGTGTGGTGGATGGATCACTCCATTAAGAGAAACAGAAGGATGGAGACGGATAACTTCCTCAGCAGCACTTTACTGTCATCCACATTGTTTTGCTACACAACAACAACACTTCATTGTTCCTCATCACATGTCCCGTCATTAGCCAATCAGAGGTTAGGATGATTAAACTCAAGGCAAACATTATGACAAACACAGAAGTAGATTCAATATAATTTGGTCACAGTTACTAGGTGCTACTGCAAACATTAAGATATGTAAATATATCAATATTAACTTTGTAAACTCAAATATGTAAATAGCTCACTGTATAAATGTTATCTTATTTTTTAATTTAAACTTAAATCCATGGATTAACTCAAATATATGAATTTACTTCACTTTTAAATCTTACACTATTGCTATTGTTTTATCAAACTCGATGAGTAAATCAGAACAGGGAAAGTGTTGAGTCTGCTCAGTCTGTTTATATGAGAGTCTGTAAGTACCTATTTTCATGAATTCATTCATCTTGGTCATTTTGTGGATATATCATTTAAATCTGTCAATCCTCTCAGGGTAATTCTGTTGTTGGGATTGTGTATCTGTAAGACATCTCATAGCAGCAGATCTATATTTGGATTGGAGCCAAGTATAATAATAATAATAACTTTATTTATAAAACACAGGTTTACAAAGTGCTTTGACAAACAGCAAAAACAAGAACAAACTAAACCAAACACAGAAGAACATAAACAACAACAAGAACATAACAAATGCAAAATACAGAAAATAATTAAATACAATTCAACAGAAAAGAACCCAAAGTGCACGATACCCAACAGATATATAGAACCAGTCCATCACAAGAACCATCACAAGAACCATCACAAGAACCATCAGAAGAACCATCACAAGAACCATCACAAAAACCATCACAAGAACCATCACAAGAACCATCACAAGAACCATCAGAAGAACCATCACGAGAACCATCACGAGAACCATCAGAAGAACCATCACAAGAACAATCATAAGAACCATCACAAGAACCATCACAAGAACCATCACAAGAACCATCACAAAAACCATCACAAGAACCATCACAAGAACCATCACAAGAACCATCACAAGAACCATCACAAGAACCATCAGAAGAACCATCACAAAAACCATCACAAAAACCATCACAAGAACCATCACAAAAACCATCACAAAAACCATCACAAGAACCATCACAAGAACCATCACAAAAACCATCATAAGAACCATCATAAGAACCATCATAAGAACCGAGGAAACACAAGAACCATCATAAGAACCATCATAAGAACCATCATAAGAACCCAGGCAACACAAGAACCATCATAAGAATCATCATAAGAACCATCATAAGAACCATCACAAGAACCATCATAAGAACCATCATAAGAACAATCATAAGAACCATCATAAGAACCCAGGCAACACAAGAACCATCACAAGAACCATCACAAGAACCATCATAAGAACCATCATAAGAACCATCATAAGAACCCAGGCAACACAAGAACCATCATAAGAACCATCATAAGAACCATCATAAGAACCATCACAAGAACCATCATAAGAACCATCATAAGAACCATCACAAGAACCATCATAAGAACCCAGGAAACACAAGAACCATCACAAGAACCATCACAAGAACAATCATAAGAACCATCACAAGAACAATCATAAGAACCATCATAAGAACCATCATAAGAACCATCATAAGAACCATCACAAGAACCATCATAAGAACCCAGGAAACACAAGAACCCAACAACACGAGCTGAGACCAAGAGGAACCAAAGATTTAAAAAGATGTAAGAAACTAAAAGAGATAAAAGTAAATAAAAAGAGAACAGCAATAAGAAGGTAAGAGCAGGAAAAGAAATAGAAACAAGTGAATAAATTATATTAAAAAAACAATAATATTAATAAAAATAAAAAGTAAATGTACAGTCAAGGTGATGTCTTCTTTCTAGTCGATTAAAGATGTAACCGAATGGAAAAAGGAATTTGTAGGTTGCACCGTCTAACAGAATATAAGCAACACTGTGAAGATGAATACTTTGTCAGCCATGTTTGTTTTGTTGCTGTGTTGTCTGACCACGGCCGGATAAATTCCAAGATGAGCCGCAGTCTGTTTCAGGATTTTATCTTTGAACATACAGCAACACAACCCCCACCTAACAGAGTCAGAGATTGTGTTCAATATTGTGGTCAGCTGCTATCAGCCGGTCCGTGTCACTGTTTGCTCAAACTGGTTTTATGAGACCGAGTCAAGTCGCCTTCTCTGATATCCTCCAATATCCTGTTTCCACAGCCTCATTCTTTACACAAACACACACCTGTCACCTCAGTGTGTGCGCCCGAGTGAACATGACCTTATGTGTAATGTTCAAGTTTGCGTATACAGATTGTGTGTGTGTGTGTGTGTGTGTGTGTGTGTGTGTGTCTACCTGTCTCTGGTCTAGTCTCTCGATGGTAGCATTAGCTCCATAAGCGTGGCAGGACTCCACAGTGTAGTCAGAGCTGATGCCGAGCACAGAGCACGAGTCTCCACACGACCCGTCAGCCACCACGATCACACGCGGCCAGTTGTTGTGAGGGATCCTCCGAAGGTACTCCTCTGTGAACTGAAACAACAAGAGACAAACAATCTGATATTTATATTCAAAGATTTATATTAAAAAACAGATCACTCAATTAATGGGAGAAGCACATTGGGGGTTGTATTTTTGCAGCCTTAATATGACATTGTGTAAAAAATAAGATCTCTATTGCAAACATTCAAAATTAATATTTATTTAGGGCCTTTATGAATAAAGTGTTTTTATGCTAAAATAACTGTCATAATAAATGAACTACAAATTGGTTTACTGACTCTAAAGGAGAAAATGCTTGTGGGCTAATTACACCTCCTGCAGCTCGGGTGAGGTTTCCTTGGGCTGTAACTAATAATAGTTTTTTTCTCATTAACAATAAGCTGTGTAATATGTATTATTCATAAAACGTCTGCTATGTGCTTCTACCTGTCTTCAAACATCTATTTTAACAATCCAAAACCAGAAGACATTCAGTGACCTGTATGTAAATCCTTACAAATTAGAACTGGAACAACGTCATTCTTTTTTTTATTAATAGAAAAATCTTCCTAATGAAGCATTTGTGTTGGATTTAATTGCCTGCATTTTAATTTTTTTTTGAGACTACACATTTATGAAAACATTGAAATAGATACCCCTACATATTACATACTGGTCCTTTATGCTCTTCTATACGAGCATGATGGCGCCTGAGTTAGGCTTAGCCGCTGCTCTCTTACCTTTATTTTATTGTGAAGCTCTTTGTTAAGTCTGCTCGTGAAAGGTGCTATATAAATAAACTGTATTTCCTTACTTACTTACTGTAAAGTATTAAGACATTTTCACACTAATTACCCAACTAATACTCTGTACATGGTTTCAGCTCTAGATGTCATTTACTTCATGATTTTCCCACTCTGAAAATATGCATCTGTGCATCTCATTAAAAATGTGCATCTTTTATATTTCATTTAAATTGTTTGACTACTTTTAATTTAACAAAGGATTTGTTCCCTTCCCTACTAATGCCTATTTGATGTAAGATAATGCTGTGTTGGATTGTAATAAACTGAAACAAGCCCTTTAATGCTGTGAGGAGGTTATGCTTTTCTAAGAAACAGTGCATCTCTGAAAGAAATGTGTTATTTTGCCTTTATGTGTATAGTTGATCCTCAGTCAAATTCAAGGTGGTTGGTTGTGCAGGAGAAAGAGTGAGGGGCCTGTAATGGCTCAACACTATACTGGCTCAGGGAGCATATCAGCCCTGTTTTAGCCTCTCTTCACTGGCTTCCAAATCATAACAGAATTGATTTTAAGGTTGCATTGTTTGTTTTTAAAGCACTAAACGGCCTGGCACCCTCTTATATTACTGATCTCCTCAGCCCCATACACAACAGCCAGGCCCCTCAGGTCCTCTAACATGGACCTCCTAGCTGTAACCTCACTCTCTCGCCATGAACTTGGAGGTGACCGAGCCTTTGCGGTCAAGGCCCCCTCGCTTGAGGAACAGCCTTCCTCCCTCAGGTCAGGTCTGCCCCCCTCTGTGGAATCTTTTAAGTCAAAACTCAAAACACACTTCTACACGTTGGCCTTTGAGTCCTAGTTAGGTTGCTTGTACTTCTTTCCAATGTACTTCTATCAAATGTCTTATAATGTTATTGTCTAATTATATTGTTAGTATGTGTGCATGTGTGTAGGCAAACTTGGATGTGTGAGTTTTGCTTTTTTAATCTGTAATGCTCTCTTGTTTCATGTACAGCACTTTGGTCAGCTGCTGCTGTTTTTAAATGTGCTTTATAAATAAATGTGATTGATTGATTGATTGATATAAGATCTATGTTGAATCCACAGTTAGACAGCAGAGAACAGGCTTATTTAAAAGAGACCTTTCCATTCAGACATTTGAAGCACTGACAGGCTTCAGCAATCATTTATCAAACACAATGTGCTAATCAAGAGGAAATGGCAAACTTGGCAGTGACTCTGAATGAAGCTGAAGTGTGCTGTGATCAAAACCCCTCTTGACCTTGTCTTCCTTCTCCAGAGGTCTGTGAGTCACTCTGAGAGTACAGACAGCATCAGAGCTGAGGAGAAAAAGATGCTGGAGGCCAGAACCAGGAAGGACAAGTATGACACAAGACTACAACTTGATGAGCACAATAAAGAAAAAAAATCATGCAGAGTGAAAGTCTAGTTTGACCTCAATGGAGCATCAACAGAGTCTCATATCTTAGTCCCTCCCCATGACACAGATAATCAGTGAACATTACATAATTGTTTGTCCGCACGATGAGTGCTCGCCGCTCCTCTCTGAGGATCAGGGGTTAGTAGGTTGTTTCTTTTGTCCTATACGTTAATGAGCGTCTAGGAATTTGTTCTCACTGTATATTGGTGTCACGATGCCCATAGTGAGGGATGTATAATAACTTATTTAAACATGTTCTGTTTTCTCATCTTCACACTGATTGTGAATGTTTTCAGTAGCGTCAACACTGTTTGTTTATTTCTCTCTATAGACTGAATCTCTCTCCTCTAACATGTGTAGTCTAGAGTTGTAGCTTATTGTTGTATCTGTTCTCTGTGTTGTTTTGTTTTGTTTTTTGTGTGTTTTGTTTTGTTGTTGTTGTTGTTGCTGTTGTTTTGAGCTGTATGTATTACTTTGCTTGTTTCGTCTGTAGTGTGTTATATTTTCTGTGTTGTACCTGTGTCTTTGTAAATATATGTTTGGGACCCCCTTGAAAACGAGGTGATACACCTCAAGGGGATTATCCTAATACAATACATTTTCTCTAACATGACATGTTTAATTAAAGTCTTTATATGTGATTTTTCACACTTAAATGTAGAAATCAAGTACATCCTCTGAAAATAACTCTGTGAGTCATGACTGTCTACAATGGGTGTAACACATTAAATACTTCAAATCAAACAGGATTTCATATTAAAATCCATTTACTTAGTTTGAGTGTTGCAGTGTTTGGATTAAACACGATTTAGTCTTTGACAGTCTTTTTTACCGCTGCCCAGAAAACTGTAGGCAGGATTCTCTTCAGGTTTGAGGTCAGCTTACATAACAAAGTTCTGATGAGCTGGCTTTCAGTTTGATGTTACACAATGTTGTGTAAGGAGAAGCTTTGTGAGTAATGCGGGGAAAGGATACAGTATGTACAGTTCATCATGGTGTAAAAGAGCACATGTCTCTACAGGAAGTCAAATGAAAAAGGGGGATTTTGAATGTAGGGTATTTAATTCAATAAATGGTGAAGTGTTTGATGTGATGGCCAACAGAGAGACTTAAAGGTCAGTTAAAGATGTAAGTGCTGATGGACACAATAGACAGAGCTATAGGAGACTGCAGCCTCTGAAGAACAGACATCTCTGTAACCATCACTGCAGAGAGTTATCTGACCCCTGCTGAGGAGGAGGCACACACCGGTTGTTTGCTTTGACCGCTGCCTCTGAGGGAAGATCAGGTTTGACAGACAGTAAAGGAACAGGATGAAGGCGGGACTGAGAATCACACATTTCCAAATCGGTGCTCAAAGTAGAAAGCAATCTAAAAAGGGAATTTAGGTTGTTGTTTAAGCACAAAGGGATAGTGTGAAGCTTTATTTTTAGGTACTGTACAGCCCTGTGTTGACTGATAGAGACAGTGTGTTAAGGGTAAGTTCAGTGAGGAAGATATACCTTGGTACCTAGTTGCACTTTGACCTCCACTTTCTGCTTCTTCTGCTCCAGGATGCTCAGCAGATACTCCTGAAACACGCCGATCCTGGTGAAGAAGTGCTCGTTGTGCCAGCAGCCTTCCATGTTGTCAAAGTCCACCCCGAGTCCCAGCAGGAACTTGACACTGCGGGGGTCCAGGGCGATCTGCTGGGGCCGACAGAGCAACGCGGTCCGGTACCGCTCGTCCAGCACAGTCAGTTTCAGCACCTTCCCGGAGCGGACAGCGACCAGCGCGGCCGTCAGCCCCACGGGACCCGAGCCCACGACGAGCACGGAGATCCTCGCCCGCCACTGTCTGATGCCGTCCAGGCTCACTTTCACCACCACGTACACGATCACGGCCGCCAGGGTGCTCAGAGCTGTGTCATAGGCGAGGGCGCGATACTTTTCCTCTGCGTTTTCACCAACTCCTGCGTTTCCTGTCTGCAGCCCGTCCATCCCGAGAGCAAAAAAAAGTGTGCTAGAAGCTTTCACCTCTCTTTTTCAATTAGCCGAATGTGCTCTTATCATGCAGGCATCAAAGAAAACCCCTCGGTCCATGCACGTAGCCAGAGCAGCTGCGAGCGTCCTCTGCGCTCCCTCTGCGCTGCAAGTGGAGTTGTTGCAGTACGATGGACTCTCTCTCTTCCTCTCTCTCTCTCTTCTTCACTCTCTCTTTCTCCCAAAGCGCGTCAGCACAAACATGGGCAGTTCAGTCTCTGAGTAGACCTTCGTGTAAAGGTTTGTATCAACCACATTTTCCAAAATTACCAGGACTTTAAAAAAAAGGTCATTTGAAAGTGGAACAGATACTTGGACAGCGACCAGCAGGGGGGCCGGGACAATGTGCTTCTGTTACTCTAGAAACTATTGATTTTTCTGTTGCTAAACCAAGAGAGGTCGATTCTCTCTCTCTCTCACACACACACACACACACACACACACACACACACACACACACACACACACACAGGACAAGCACAGCAAACCATACATTCTCGAAGGGCTGATTACAAAGGGCATCACTGCTATTTTCCATCAATGACGTCCTGCTTGTAGGCCTATAGGTCACTTTTCATACTTCAATCTTTCCCTTTGTAACATGCATTTATATTTCAAATTGTTTTCTCTTTCCCTTCCTGGACTCCATCTAGTGATGTGTCTGGATTTATTGTTGACTTTTATTTCCTTTCTCTTTTTCCTCTCCTTTCATTTTTCTCTGAACTAAAGAAAGCAGTGATTGGGAGCCCACTTCACCATGGTGACGGCTCCTCAGACAACAAGGATGATTTATATGAAAAGATGCATTTCTCTGATGCTGCTGCTGCTGGAAATGATTTTTGAGAAGTGGCAGAACAGAGCAGATTTCTCTTTTCTATTTTGATCAACTTATTTCTGCACCGTTATGAACAACAGACCTGTAATGACCTCCATATACAATCAGGTAGAGATTCCCCCATGTTCACTTTGTTAACTTAACTGAAAACATTTGATAAAAAAAGAGGGAATATCTTCTCAGGCATCACTTTCGGACATCCCATTGAACTTGATCTACCTGTACTTGTTTGGATGCATTATATTTGTGAACCCTTTATAATCCTGTTTTTGAAATGAAAAAATAAATGAACTTACTTTGTGTTATAACAGAAAAGCTTTCAGTGGAACCTTCTGTCAGTGAAATTTAACATTTTCTTCCTCTCTGCCACCACCCCGTGCTTGACCCCGATGCATCACAGTCATAGAAACAACAACTGTAAGAAGAATACAGAGATCATGCCAGGTAGATACAGTTTGTCAGCTGAATTGAATTGAGATAAAGTGTGTGTGTGTGTGTGTGTGTGTGTGTGTGTGTGTGGGGAGAGAGAGAATCAGTGTGACACACTACACCGGTAATTGGTTTCCACCTCTTCAGGTGCCTGGCAACGATCATGCCAGATGAAAGAGAAATGAAGCTCTAATTACAGTTAAGACCTGCAATCTGGCAGGCAACCACAGACGAGGTATTTTTCCTAGAAATGAAAGAAAGAGGTCACCTGGAAACAAAAATAATGAGCTGAAATATTTCATAATGGTGCTCTGAGGATCACTTAAAAAAACAAATCTGTGTTTTGAGTGAAAAGCTTGTTAAACACATGTAAAGAAAAAATGCATTCTTGATTTCTATCCTGAATAAAATGTTGCAAGTGCTTTTTTAAATGATTATTTTAACATAAACTGAAATGATCTGAAGAGTATTTGAACTACCTTCTCGCAAGATGAACCCTGAAAATGCACTCTAATCAGTGCTTTTTGCTTTGATTTCCTCATATGCATGCTAATAAAATGCATTGAGCGAGGAGTCTTTTCAATGAAGCGCAGAGATTTGAATGAGTTAATGACACTGAGTGGATCCCTCACACATCCTGCTCAGACAAAGAAGCATAAAAAGCAGGTTTTTTTATCAGCTTGCTCGCGTCTTAGCACAAACTGATGAAGCTGTGCATAGATTTGAGGCCATAAGGAGAAATAAATTAGGACAACATATTACATTGTTGTCATGGAGTTCAGGCTGTAATAAATCAGCATTTACATATAAGGGTCTCTGCAAGAGAATGGGAGGAGGATATAGCCTAGTTGTGCTGAATATCAGCATGGCTTCAGTCACAAAAACACCAAAAGGCCACAATGGAGAGATATCCACAGCTGTACTCGTAGTACTAACAAACCCTGGGGATTTTAAAGAAGCGAGGTCCTTTGTTCAATAACAAAAAAGTGCAAATACTTTTCATGAGAGCGTATTTCAAGGCCTCAGTAAACATCACAGCCGTCACTGAAACAACAGATTAGACTGGACAAAAGCCAAATAACAAAGTTAACTTCATCTCAAGGACAGAGGGGGAGAATGAGACCATGGGAGGAAATACTGTATGTAAAGACCCCTGAAAATAACTTCACTTTCCTGATCTCAGCTGTTCTCCCCTTGAATTGTTAAAAGAGAAACATTTGTCCACTTTGTAGGTTCCGTTGGTTTAAAACAGGGGGGTCCTGACGTTCCCAGTCTTAAGATGTGTGTTCACAGCTGACGGACTGAAACTGTGCTGACGTGGGCCGAGGCAGCTGGCAACACCAAAACAACCGCAAGGAAAAGATCATGTCACCATGGTAACCCTGTGTAAGTAATAAGGTCAGTGTGCGACGCTGGATGTTACCGTCTTATGGCAAAGTGTTGGAGGGGTTTCCATTAGCAATCAGTCGTTGTAAATCAAATTTCTTTAGACTGCTGTAAATTAATTTAACATCATAGTTCTTTATTTTGATGCCTCTTTGATTACCTTTGACATTGTTACAGTTAAGCTTCAATGAAAGACATTTATGTTTTCAGATGTTTCAGTTTGACTCAGAATTCTTTTCTTTTAGCAGTGTGCTCCGATCAAGTTCAGCTTCATGCACGTCATTCAGGAAAGACATTTTCTAGTTAGCTATGTTCATCATATGGTTTGTTTCCCTTAAACCATGCTGGCTGTGTCTGCTCCATTCAGCAGTCCAGCTGCAGAAGACAAGTGAGCAATATCTCCACAATCATAAAAACAAAATTAATGTCCAAAAGGGAAAATAAGCTTTTTCAGCACGATTGCAGCAGCTGGTAGAATAAAACTTTATTTTCTTACAAGAAAAGTACACAGATGCACTGATTGTGTTCAGTAATCGGTGAAAACAGGAGAGCTTAAAACATGGAAATCGAAGCGTAAAAAAAAAAAGAGCAAAAAAGAATTGTGACATCACAGGTGTAATAAAACTTGCACAACTGGATCTTCATTTATAAATAAAAATTGGCTTGCCACACCTTCAAAATGAATCTACCATAACTTTTGATGCAATACTAGTTGGGCAAGAGTTGTGAACCAAGTTAAACCTTTTTTTTTTCTTTGCATGTGCCATGGTTTGGACACATCAGAACATTCTTTAATAAGATGGACTGAGATCTTGTGACTATTAATGGCATGTCATATAAAGCAGTTAGTTCATAAGGCCTAGTCTATAAGATTTGAGGGCTAGCTTTTCTCCAGCTGTAAGTGAAACGTTCATTGTACTCATAAGGTATTCTGTTTAATGAAAGTGTTTTCTCAGACAGTCATCCTGCATTTCAATTCTATGAAAAATGATGCATGTTTATATTTATTTAAGTCCCTTCTCGGAAAAGCTTTTGAGAAATTTCCTCGAGCACTGTCTCCTTATTTTTGTCCAGAAGCCACAACAGATCTGCTGTGAAAAACTTCCTTTTGAATGATGTCACACACATGACCGGGAGCCGAGATGTAACTGAAGCTGAAGTCAGAAGTTAAAGGGCATTGTACTCGACACACTTTGATGGATCAGTCGTGAAGTGTTTCTGGCAGATTGTCATGAGCCTCTTCAATCCCTGTGGGAATAAAAAATAATGACAAGGCAAAGTGAGTAATAAAATATAATATGAAGATGTGACAGCAATATTCAACCTGGTGAACCAACTCCTCAATTTTATGAACATGAACAGCTCATTTATACACCTATTTTTTAGCATATTTATGTAAATGTCGTTGTTTAAGTGTTTCGGTAGATACATTAATGTGCAAACTGATTTAGAAGCACTCTTAGACCGGGCAATGGTCATATTATACAATATGAAGGTTGAGGGTTTGATCCCCAGCTCCTTCAGTCTCATGTCCAAGAGTCCTTGGGCAGGACACTCTAATGCTCCTGCTGCTGTGTCAGTGTGGATGAGTGGGATTAGTTAATACAGATGAACACTTCACATAGCGGCCTCTGCCATCAGTGTGTGAACAGGTTGTGAACGGGTTAATGTGACAAGCGGTTTAAAAAGCACTTTGAGTAGTCAGAAGGCTAGAAAAGATGAAAAAAAAAAAAGAATTATTTGTGGCGCAAATTTTACAGAAGTTTTTAAAATTGCAATTTAAAACTTACATAAGTAGGAGAAAAATGAACTTTGTCTATGTATAACATATATAAACATGTGCATATTATAAACTCCTTCACTGTCACAGTCATATTATTCAACCACACATTCCCAACCTAAAAGAGACTATGCTGCTGTGTTTAAAGATTAGTGTTACAGTCTCACCTGGATGTATTTTCTCTGAGTCTCGTCGTTAAGAACGTGAGCCACGTGCTTGGAGAAGATCTTTTCTCGTCCAGTACGGGCATGGATACCCACCATGGTCACACCGATGGGCCAGGGAGCATTTCCAATGGCCATCTGTAGATAGGCATCATTGGCCTGCACGGGTTGAAAGATTAGTAAACGGTGGGAAAAAGTAAGAGACTAAAAGGTTTTAAAACTGCTGTTATCGTGATAATAACATACCTTGACATATTCTCTCTCCAACATAAACTTGATGATGTCTGTGATTGATTCTTTGATGTCAGCAGGTAAATTCTGAAATACATTATCATTGTTAGATTTATAACTTTTAAAATTCGACTACTAAACCTTCAACAGCATCTGTGTCGCTTGTTTTGCTTTCCCAAAATGTTACCTTCTTCCTGAGCTTCCTGAAGAGAGGTTTCAGGTAGGACTCGGTCTGTGAGTGGGTGGCACTGGCCAGTTTGCCCTGAACGCTTCGCTTCACATGGTCCTCTCGACTATTCAGATCTTTGGCCCAAACACCGAGAAGAAACTACAACACAGGAAAAACAACGATCGACAACATGTTCTTGTAGTAGACTGAGTGTCAATCATGTCGATAACAATCATCTGAGTGATGAGCGTTGTTGTTCTGTGCGTGTTCTGTATTGTTCGGCAGAAAGAGGCTTAGTTGGAAGCTGTCTTCTATGAACTCTCTTTAACTGTGTACAAAAAAATGTCCATATTACAAAGCAAACACTGATTGTGAATAGAGAATATCAACATAAATAGCAGCCTCAGAAGAAGTGGAGTACACATGTTTTTAACCCAACAGCTCCCTCAAGACTAAAAGTAGAATCTTTGTTTTTCCTGCCTCACCCTCAAAAACTTGTCAATAAGATCTTGGTCTCCATGGTCATCTCCTCTGCCCAATGTTTTTCCAAGAGCCTGAAGAACAATAAAAGTGTTAAGAGACAAACTGAACCATGACCTAAATGTACTTAGAGCCACAAGAACATGTCACAATTAAAAAGTGTATCTAACTGATGAACAGTTTCTTTCTATACAAAATCAGTAAAGAATTATTAGAAACTCCTGACCCTGATTGCTACTTAATTTACCTCCAGTTCTTCTATTGTGGTGTTTTCTTCGTGCACTTTGAGGTCATGTTGTGTGTCCTGTTCTCCTGGCTCCGTTCCTCCAACGATCTCATTCCGGTACTGCAGGTCGATCTTGTCCATCGCAGCTTTCAGATCATTTCTCAAACCCTAGAAGTGAGACAAGGGTGTAGAAAGGGTGTCAACTAGAATACTGGGCTGAAAAACTGAGACAAAGAATCTATAGAAAGAACCCCATGTACAAAAAAACAAACAGCTTCAATCACCTTCATTTACAGAACATGAGTGAAAAATTGATTTAATCAGGAGCCTTGTTTAAAGCAACATCAGCCAATCAGATTCTGTAAGCTTACAACTCATTGGAAAGAAAATTGACCTTAAAGTCTTTATATGCTCCATTAGAAAATGAGCTTTAATCAGTTCAGCTTTACTGGATGATGTGACTCCTTCTCATCAGCCTTACCTTGTTTACTTCAGGGGTCAGAATCTCGATTTTCCTGAGTCTCTGGAAGGCTTCATAATCAGACTCTCCAAACAGTCGGATAGGTTCTCCTCGCTCTCTGAGCCGTCTAATTACCTACACACAAACAAAAGTGGGGGAAAAAGATATTTAACATTTGCATTAGATAAATAAACTGAAAGTGAAGATGTGTTGTTTTTATTTGCCGATGACTCACCTCCTGTCGTGACAGGGACATCGGTAGCTTCTCCTCTGTTAGTTCCAGTTCTAACACGGGGTTAGCCGAGGTGGAAGGCTCATCTTCTTCCTTGTTATCGATCTTCAAGGCAAAGTGGAGGAAAAAGAAGTAGACCTATGTTACTAGAGGAATCTAGAGCTCATATGAAGGTCCAGAGTTTAACATCGGGATATGAGAACAGCATCGGCAACGTATGCATAAGACCTCCGGACTGAGCCTGATGTGTATTAATATGACAAACTGGATTGCACACACTCACACCCCCTTCTTACCTGTGAACCCTAAATGAAGGACCCACAGGTCCTTTAGGACTAAAGTCTGAATTGATAACGTACCAATAAAAGAATCATATTCGGTGATATTACAGTCAAAATGTTTATTAAGCAGAATTGAAATGCTGCCCCGTTTAAAGTCTTTCACAAGCAAAACATTTTCAGAGATTTTTCGACACATTAACTGAAGGTATGCTACCAGATCATGCTTTCATGCATCCTGGCACTTTTAGATTGTGAGTATATGAGCACAATCTAAAAGAACAAACAGGAAGTGATTACTAAAAAGCCGTCGTAATAAACAATGGGTCTTGCTCAAATAAACACAGAACACTGCATGTGTGCAATAACCATTGCTTGATGTTTGACATTTTAAGTCTCGCAAGAATCAAACAAAAATGCATTTTTCCTTCAGCAAATGTTTCAAAGCAATGCAACAAAAAAACAAGGAAAACTCAATATTGATCCAAATATTAAATTTGGGTGGCTGCTGTTACAGAGGATTTGTCTTTGGAAGTGAAGTAGTCTCAAGTTGAAAGTATGGTCATTTTAAGCTCAGTTCAGTTTCCCATGCTGAAATCCACACCATGTCTGTGCCCCACTCTGGCTTTGTAGATTCCTTTCCTTGTTCCCTTTCTTTCTGACATGTGATTGCTGCAGAGCCAGAAAACAGTTTAAAAACTGGTAGCTTGTTCAGCATACAGTCCAAATGTCACAGTGGTTTCTGCACATGTAAATTAAATGTATAAGGAAGCATATCAAGCTAAGAGGTTCTTAAAGAAATGCATATAAAAGCGGGTATGTCTGAATAGATTGAATCACAACAATCAAAAGAAGCAGAAGAAGAATGAATGATCTATTGAGCCTGGTGTTGTATTTATCTCATCATCTTGCACCAGAGCACCTAGCCCTCATGGACTTTTATTTACTGGCATTATCGTGTTGTCATTCAGAAAGGGTGCCAAGGAAGAAGAGGCCTTTGGGGCACAGTGTGTTACGATCTTTTATCATGCATCCTGTCAGCTACTTTTCACTGTGCAATCCCATACCTGGCTCTCAGGACTCTCTCGCTGCACCTACAGATGCAGGCAGCAGAGGCAGGTTGGGGGGAAAAACAGCACAGCAAAACACAGAAATAAACACTAATGTAAACACCTGAGCATCAGCGCCTGACCTTATTTTGTTACCTGACAAAAGCTAAAGACTGTTTTACTAAACATGAGATAAAAACAGGACAGGAGAAAGGGATTGATGGTGCACGTGTGTGAGACAGAGAAAGAGGGACAAACCTTGTATCCACATCTTTTAAAGTAATCCTCTTGTTCTTTGTGAGCGAGATCGGACCTTTTGAAGAATTTCTTGGAGTCCTGGAAGAAAACACATGGAGTACATAATGGATTTGTTTCACACTTCTGATGCACTTACATGAAAAGATCACGCTATTTGGATAAGTAGATAGACGATAGATAAAATCTTTATTATCATTGTATACAAGGACACAACAAAACTTTGTTAGCAGCGTTTACAAAAACAACTAAAATATATTTGTGGTGATATGAAAGAGAAATATGCAAAAAGTGGCCAGAGCAGTTGCTGTTCAGTGAATGAATGATAATAATAATAAATAAATAGACAGTTGTGGTGACTGAAAGAATATATACAGTTATTATTGTGCAGTGACTGATTAATTAAACAAATATAAATATAGAGATATAGTGCAAATAAGTGAAGTTATAGTGCAGTGACAGAGTGGATACAGTTATTATTGTGCAGTGACTGAATAAATCAATCAATCAATCAATAAATAAATAAAGTTAAAGTGCAGTGACAGAATAAATAAATAAATAAAGTTAAAGTGCAGTGACAGAATAAATAAATAAATAAATAAATAAAGTTAAAGTGCAGTGACAGAATAAATAAATAAATAAATAAATAAAGTTAAAGTGCAGTGACAGAATAAATAAATAAATAAATAAATAAATAAATAAATAAATAAAGTTAAAGTGCAGTGACTGGATGAGTAAATAGATAATTATAAAGATAATTATAAAGCAGTGAATTACAAAGTTATTGCACAACATTTAAACAGATTTGCTGTAGAAAAACAATATATGTTCCTTTCTTTATTCCCATTTAAAAATTACAGTTTAACCTGTTATCTTCTATAACTACACACACATATATATATATATATTTATATTTTTTATGTATCTTCACGTACCCGTCGTATCGTGGGAAAAACCAAACTCTACCTTGAGGGATGTTGCACAACAGTAGGCAACAACTAGCAAGTAAACAAACAGCCTTACATCCGGGACATTGAAAAGCTGTATTCTATAATGTGAGTAAAATAGGGATAAAAACAACAACATGTATTCTATAATGTGAGTAAAATAGGGATAAAAACAACAACATGTGAAATGTTTAAAATCTTGTTTCAACGGCGAGCTGAGCACAGATGACATCAGAGCCATTTATTTCAATTCTTATAAAAACAAAACAAAAAAGTTTGGACTCTATAAGTAGTACATTGATATGGTTTAGCCCATATTTGCATAGCAACAGTGGGCTAATATAAAAATAGGGTATTTTAGGCTTTAAATATTTAAAATATTCTGAAATAGTTTTTAAATGTAAAATGAAGCCGATTGACAATATTCACGAATGTTGGTAATGAAAATGTGGAAATGTTTTCCAGCCATCATCACCTCGTGACTCATATCAATAATGCTACATAATAATAATAATAATAATAATAATAATAACTCTTTCCACAAGTGGAAGTGTACATACCTTGTATTATTCTATAATTGTATTTTTTCTCCCTTTATTTAACTGATGTACATATGTTTGATTTTTAACTTCTTGTTATTTTTGATAATTATATTCCTGTTTCTTGAGCTGTTGTAGCAAAAAGATGTCTCACATGGGGATCAATAAAGTTTATCTTTATCTTTATATGCCTATCTCCTTTCTCTCAGCCTATAGGTAAAACACTTTGTGAAGCACTCTGTAAAGTTGGTTTTGATAATACCTTCATAGATAAACTTTATTGTTATTATTATTACCATTATTATAAGGTAACAATATTCAAAAATCTCCTTGAAAATGATCTAAAATATTTTTCAAGGGGGTAGATTTATTAAACGAGGTGTTCATCAAAATTGTGGTTTTATTTTTGCACAAGGACAAGAACGAACTTGAAAATATATTTTTGTCCAAAAGAAAAATCAGGATTATCAGCATGTCTGTATTCAGTGACATCCAGATAACCATACCTACCTTTTCACATAAAGCTGTCTGATGTCATATTATTATGCTGCAGACAGTCAGCTGATGGTCTTCATGTATATGTAAATATTGGGGCTTTCAGTTTGCTTAAATGGAATTTGTGTCATGCCTGCCATGAAAGGTATTATCCTGGTAATTTTAAATTAATTTGACATTTACAAAAGTAACAAACAACCCAGAGTTAAGTCGTGTTGAGAAACTCTTCTCACAAATAAAAGGTGGTCATTGGAGTGTTTTTTTTTTTTTTTTAAAGAGCAACTCGTAACATTTAAGAGCGAAAGTTTCTGTTTGTATTGTAACTAAGATCTCATTTGTGTTTGTTCTCTGAGGCCAGTCCTTTGTCTGGACACTAGTGGCACATTTCTGACTCGACCTTTTAGATGAGAACATACCATCAGGTGGCGCAAAGGGATATGTGACGAATTTTTAATAATAAAGTCATTAATTTATTTACATGGCGAGAGAGGAGAAGCCGCATCTTGACAGGGACGGGGTGTGGGGGTCATACAATAGCAACTATGAGGTTTATTTAAGCTTAATATAATGAAAACAAGCCGATGACAGAAGGTGTAGCGCAGCATGAGGATAAAATTGAAGTGATTAATAAGGCAGACGGACAGTCATTCCGCTGAGTCTATCTCATTGATCTCGTCTTTTCTGAGGAGCGATTTTTTTTTTCCACCGCACGACTTACTCAAGAATAGGGGCTACATCCCGAAGATGGAGTTTGGAGAAAGAAAGAGGAGAAGGAAGTCACAGAGCTTTAAACTGGTCACGGATGAAGGTAGGCTGCTGATGCTGCTGAATGAATGAATGTGAGCCCATGCAAGACGCGCGTCTGTGTCTGCTGTTTGTCTGGCGCTGTGTGCCAGCAGAGGCTGTAAACAAAAGCGACGGCTACGACAATGCCCACAGTATGTGTGCCTCTGTCTTCACCATCAGCTATGTAAATGGCGTAAGTCTGACATGTAAAAGACAATAGACATCTTGTATACTGTAGATGCAAGAATTAAAAAAAAAAAAAAAATCCCAAAATATGAAGTCAATTGCTGCAGCTGAATTTTTCACTTTTTGCAGAAGATTACGCACTAGGCCACCTCTCTTGACTACACTTCTTCATACCACCTACAGGTGGTAGTTTTTGCATGGGGGTGGGGGGTTGGGGGGAGTCTACTTTGGCTGACATCACAGTCTTGCATGAGCTTCTTCATTACAATGCAGAATAAATGCAATATCATTCTGCAACTATGTGTCGCAGGACTTATTGTTAATTCAGTTTCATGTTATTTCTGTAACATTAAAAGCAACCACTCGTCTTTCAGAGTCTTCATATATGATGAATTCCAACTCAAAAGTTGCAAATAGAACGACCATGGATGCTGCTTTGCCTGAAGGTATGTGTCACTGTTACTATTAATGCAGTGATGTGAATTTGACTTATTCTATACTCACACACTTCTCTCTCAGTAGTTTTGGTTGGAGACGAAGGCATGGAGATCAAGAAGCAAATCACAGGAATGATGAGGCTTCTTAGTGATAAGACTGGCAGGTTTTATCAGCGTGTGGGAGCAGAGCAGGACGACTTGGCAGCGGAGCCCCAAGACAGACCTCTGACCTGGGTACACCAGCCTGCAGCTTTATCAGAGGAGCAACAGAGCAGCAGCTGGAGCTCTGCAGGGGAGCCAGGGCCTTCATCTTCATCTTCATCCATATCCACCTCCATCCAAAATGGTCCAGGCTGCGGCCAGTACAGCACCCGCTCAAAAACGACGAGGAACCTCAACAACACCTCCAAGGATCTGAATAAAAGGAATGAAGCTAATGGTAGGCTATAAAAAAAGTGAAAACCAAGAAATGCAACATTTCTCTACAGGGAGAAAGATCTGGTCTTAAGTTATCTCATGGCTTTTTTAATGTAGAGCTGCTCCAGTCAATACCCTTTTTAGTATTATTAAAAGAGAGCTTACATTTATCCACCATGAGCGAGCACTTTGCTACTATTCTGTGCCAATGAAAAGCATTCTTTTTGACAGACAGAAACCTTGATCAGACTCGTTGGTGAACGGTTAACTACAACAAACATGCTGTGCATACTAATCCAGAAATCTCACTTTTGTATTTCCTTCTCAGAGAATAAAGCAAGAAGGCATAGTTGCATGTTTTGAGTCAGTAACTAATAACCAACACATGATTGGCTTTCCATGCAGATGTACTCCCCCCTGCAGAGCCAGACACCCCGTGCTGCATGTGTAACTGTAAGGGCACCTTGCAGGCTATTTTGCAGGAACTATGTGCCATGAGGAAGCTGATGCAGAATCAAAAAGGTCAGTTAGTTAAAACGCTTTCAGACTGTGAAAAAAGTGAGAATGAGAAATATATAATGTGTTATTTTTTTATTTTATTTTAGTGTCCTTGGAAAGACAGGAACAAGCAGCATCTCCATGCCAACCTCCTCGTATTGGTCAGGGCCCCACTCCTCGCTGCAGGCCCCGCAAGAGGAGACCAATCTACAAAGTGGCCCCCCTCACTGTGCCTAGTGCGAGAAGAGCTACTCCTCCTGCCCCTCTGGAGGCTTCCACCTATATGGCTGTACCTGTAGATGCTAGAGAGGAGGAGGGATGTGAGAAAGAGCAGAACTCATCCACAGCCAACAGTCACCCGGTTTGCTCTGAGGTTTCTGTGCTGCCGTGTCAGAATAATCCGGTAACCGTGGACAACGCACACAATGCTCGACTGAACCTAACGAAGGAGCCTCAGTTGTTAGAGGTAATCTGCATGTTAGCATCTGGATGTTTTCTACTTTGCATTGTTACTGTAATATTCCCAGATGAATAAAGAAAAAAGAAAAGAAAGAACAAAGAAAGAAACCGTAATCCTGGGAAAGACTGAGCCATTGTTTTTTTGTGCAATCCTCCTCGAGTGATTTTATAAGTACATCTGCAAAAACAATCAAAGGCTTCTTACATTCAAGACAAAGACTGTTAGAACAGTAGAGTATTGTCTCTTCTTCTTCTCAAACTACATTTCTTTTCTTATGTTTTCACACATCATTGTAGTATAATATGTCTCAGTTGTCACTCTCTGTGTTTCTCTTTCAGTCTGAGGTACGTCTTGCTAAGGATTATGATGTGTATATATCAAAGGCTCAGCTGGACTCCATCCTTGTGAACTACACACGCTCTGGCAGCCTGCTGTTCCGCAAACTGGTGGGAATCATTCACCCTTTTTGTTTTTGGTTAATTTTCCAGTCATGTGGTATTGCTGGCTGATCCCATTTTATTAAATTAAAAAACATCTTATTATCAACTTTAAAGTCTTTATATGTGATTTTTTACACTTAAATATATAAATCAAGTATCTCCTCTGAAAATAACTCTCTGAGTCATGACTGTCTACAATGGGTGTAACACCCGAGTCCCACTGTCTCTGATGTTTTCAGAGTTTTCAGAGTCCTATCTTCACTTTGTTTACATCGCCCGGACGGCCGGCTGACTCCTCCCCTCGTGTATAAAAGTTGTTTAATTGAGGGACTAGAGAAAAGAAGAATAACATACTGTACTCACTGCTTAACTGTGTTTCTAGATCACGCTCATTTCAGGTAAATTTACATGCAGTGTGAAGATACCAGCATAATAAAGATCGCTAGCATTAGCATGCTAACACAACAATGCAGCGCCAGTTGTTTTGGTTTCATGCTGGTGCTCAAGGGCGACGACATCTGCTGGATCAAAAAATCACATATAAAGCCTTTAAGAATGAGCTAAAAGCCCAGAAATGGTTTAATTTAGAGCTGCTATATGTCATAGGTTTGTGCCTTCTTCGATGATGCTACTCTGGCTAATTCCTTGCCAAACGGTAAAAGGAAGAGAGGCCTCAATGACAACCGAAAGGGCTTGGACCAGAACATTGTGGGCGCCATTAAAGGTATGGACGGATTCAAAAGACGTCTTGAGTCTTATTTGTAGAAAAGAAAGACATTAATGTAGTTCATACTGTGTCCAGTGTTTACAGAGAAATACTGCTCCGAACATAGAATAGAGAAGATGCCCGGGCCTCGGGACTGGGTTCAGATCCTTCAGGATCAGATCAAACTTGCCAGGAGGAGGCTGAAAAGAGGTACTGACTGAAAGTTTTCTCTTTAGTAGTTTATTGTATTCTTATAACTTATTCAGCATGTTTGTTTTTGGTCCTTAATCCTGTTTTAATATGCAAAAGGGATTTGAGCGTATTCATTTATTTGTATCATTGAATGGTTAAAATAAAACACAAAGTTTAGCAGTCAAAGAGTTGTCCTTATCTGAATGTGTCCGGTTTACATTGTTCTACTTTTGGTTTCACAGAAGGTGTAGAAGCAGAAGAAGTCTTAACTAGACCTTCCACAAGTAAGAGCCATTCCCTAAATATCTGCACCCAATCGTCCCCATTATTGTCTTTTACCTTTCACCACTTCACTTCCACAAGCTGCTGGTGTTGCTGGCTCACTCATTGGCTTATGTCTTTGTCATGCTTGCACTGTAAAATTTGACATTCTCAGGCAGCTTACCCAAAATGTCAGCTAATTACCTTCACACCGTGCACCGTCCCCTCTGTGACCTCTCTATTTCATTTTCAGCATCTCAAAAGCAGCTCTCTTCCTGCCTCCTATTGTTTTTCTTTCAAGGAATAAGGCTATGAAACACCAACATGTGTTAACATAGCTGCATTTTCATGCACAAATTCATTGAAGTGCAATCTTAAAAATGAACATGTTCTTGTTCCCTTCTTCATAGGATGCAACTACAACAGGCCTGCAAGTGTGGAGGTGACAGTAGTGAACATGACTGGATGATTACAGGGCTGCCACAATGGCCTTAAAGCAGATCTATTGTCTCTATTATTTATCCAACCTGATGCATTTAGCAAATTTAGAATATTTATTTTGCAGCTTGACTTGTGCTTCGTGCAACTGATGTAAAGGGGGAAAAAAACAAATGACTAAGTGAAGAATCTTGATGAGGGGTCTCGGATTTTTACTTCAGTTCGACAATGTCAGGTCATTTTCATGCTTTGAAGTGACTTATTGTTTACATATATGTTAAAGCTTTGACACGTCTATTTCTCATGTGCCATTTCTAGGATGATTCAAAAGAGTCTACATGGACAGAAATAGCCTACTGTAACTCTGAAGTATTTATTTATCTTACAAAAAATAGGCAAACTTTTGCAGAGTTATCCATCGTGAATGTGCCTTTAAGTGACTGGTAGGCCTTCAGACTTCAATGTGCTGTCAAGCATCCACCTCTGTTACAAACACTACATCTAAACCAAACATTGGAGTTGTGTTATTTATTCATTTGTTTTATTTAAATTGATTGATGGCAATTATGAATGAAACTTTAGGCTACATTTTTTCCACAACAGGCAGATATAATTTATTATTGCTAGGCTATTGTTATCATCGTCATTGTGATGGAAATACACACTCACTGTGAATAAAGGATTAAACATGGTTTCCAACATTAATCATGACTTCTTGACTATTTTGGTTTTGTGTGTTTTTTTATGTTGCAGAGTAAAATGAGATGACCATTCATCGATTCATTCATCGAGATAACTCACTGAAGGATTCTTGAGGATTTGATTATTAACATCATATCTGTCTCTCCATACTGTCATCTGTTCAATTTATTTACAAATGATCCCTGCACTCATGTTCACTTCATTTGTCTACTCGGCGTTATATTGAACAGTCTCTGCTGATAACACGTCTACACTCCTGCACTTCAACTTATAGTATCACTGATTACACAGCTCCCCATGTCAATACTGTCCATTTACAACTCTGTTTCTGCACATTTACATTTAATCTTCATATTTAAGACGAGTAATGCTAAGTTAAATCCTGGTTGTATATATTCACATTCTTAGTTTTGATATTTTTAGTGCTTATTTACTTTGTAAAAAGTGGTTGTTTTTTTTTTGGTTTTTTTTTGGGAAGCAAAATGGGTTTTAAATCTTTCTTCGTCTGGAGTCAGTGGACGTTACAGCTCATCCTTTTTAGCAGCTATTTTATTTTAATTTGTTGATTTATTTTGGGGATTTTTATGCATATTATATTGTGTTTAAATTTGCTAATATTGTGTTTTTTTGCTCATATTGTGTGTTTGGATAACCTGCTGCTGTAAGGACACAACTTCCCAGTTTGGGATCAATAAAACAAAAAAAACATTTGTTGTAGAATAAACATATTCCCATCCCAGCATGCTTTCAAAGGTGTTAATTATTAACTCCAAACTGGTTTTATGAGGCACCTTAAACACTGTTGTGTTGTTCTGCTGCAATTGGAGGGAAAACAGTAAATTAAAGGTACACTCCATTGTAGAGATTTTGTTGCCAGACTTCTCAGCTCATTAAAGGGGATGTCAAAGCCGCCACCGTGCAGGCTGAGGACCCTTTGAGATCCTGCGGATTTCCTCTCTGTATTGCAAATCTTTAACCACTTTAAAAACACAAACATTCAATGTAGACCTATTACTACCTTAACACATTTAATATACCGAGACAGCGCTGGTGTTTTCCCCGTGAAGTCTTGATTTAGCAGACAACCAGCCATTAGTTTCCTGCAGGCATTCTCTGAGGACGCCCGCTTCTAGCCCCGATGCATTGTGGGGCCTTCCCCCGCTCTTCTGTAGGGATCCACCGCTAACGTGAAGCTGGTAAGGATAAACTGGTCAGAGCAATTAAAGGGGAAATGTTGTAAGAATATAACTCCGCTTTGGCCCTAAAATAGCATTTAGGGCGATTGTAAACACTTGTAATGCACCACATGAAGACGAGCTTTGCACTAGTCGCATATTTGTTGCTGTTCTGTTGGTGTGAACGCTCATGTTGCACACCATCGCATGGCGGAGGGCAGGAAAGGGTTAATTTTTTCCGCCGCCGACATTTTTATTCGGCGCTCTTGCTGCAACTTTTTAACTTGCATGTGCAGCCAGCTGGCGCGATGTGTTTACTGCTGTGTTTACTGCTGTGTTTACTGCTGTGCATCCCGATGTGAAGAGGAGGATGCGTGTGTGTTTGTGAGAGCTGGTGGAGGAGCCGAGCAGACCCACGGCTCTGTGGATCAGCAGCTTCATGGCATGAATGGATCAGAGGCAGCACGGAAACACATACTGGAGTTACATGCAAACAATAATGCAGAAGATGTTGTCACCACGAGTGCACATGTCTTTAAAGTTGTTGAATATGTTGTGTGTGTTTAATCAAACAGACGAGGTTACCCGTGATCTGCACTTTAAACACAAGGTTCAATGAACTTGGCAGCGTTTTGGTTCTTGAACACTCCCCCACTGGGTGCTACCCCCCCCCCCCTTCAGTAAATTAATAATTTTTTGCAAAACAGCATTTTACTGGATTGACTTACCTACCTGGTCCCTTTTTCTTTTCTTTTTTTTACACTTTGGTTTCACTTTCATTTTTACTTTTACTTGCTGAAAGTGAAAATAGGAGCTCTGCTTAACTGTGTGTGTGTGTGTGTGTGTGTGTGTGTGTGTGTGTGTGTGTGTGTGTGTGTGTGTGTGTGTGAGGTGCTGTTCTTTAAATTTAAATCACCTCTGCAAAGATCTCAAGATTGTTTTACTTAACTGACATTAACATTTAGTGTGCCTGGAGACAAATAAACACTTAGATCTATTGTTTGATTTATATTTAAAGCAGTAATGGATGATCGCTGCACTGTTGTTTTATTTTTTATTCTTTTTTAATAGGATTTTATTGTTGTGTATTTTGACTGTTGGGATTTTTCATTTTTTCTGTGACGTTGGTTTTGATAAGTGCTTTATAAATCAACTTTATTATTATTATTATTATAGTAAGCCCATTGACTGGTATGCCTCTCGTGTATCTTGATGATTGTTTTCTGTAACATTTGACCAAAAATAGAACAAAATAGTTGAACTCTAAATTGTAGAGAGAGGTGTTAGTCATGATCACATTTGTTAAAGTAACCTCTGGTGTTAAACGTTGAGTCAAACTTTATTTTAATCAGCTCTGTCTTCAGGAAACACGATGACGAAGATGAACAATCTGTCAGTAGACTTTTAGGTTATTTAAAGAAGCTTGCGAGGATTTTTCTGCATTTCTGGGGTTATATTATTTATTTATGACTGAGTAATTTAATTTAAATCGTACTGTTTTGTGCAGAAAAGAAACAATGAAAGGGAACCTGCTTTTTCAAATTTTCTACATTTTCTTTTTTTAAACATCATATTTGATGACTCAAAAATAATTGTTGGTTAAAACCCCCCAGTTGTCTGACACAGACTATAAAACACATTATGAGCTACACTGACTGTTGCTGAGGCTTTTACACACGTTTGAGCTCATTTTCTAACCACATTAACCTTGTATATATTAGTGGGTTTTTTTTGCTTTTATTATGTTTAATGTTTAACTTTGGACATGGAGAGCACAGTTTAACCCTTTTCACACGTACAGAAATCTCCTGAAAAACTCTGTAGATTAGTCTACCTGGAGGTGCTTTAGGCTATGTGTGAACACAAACAGACGCATTTTTTGCGCAGACTTTACCCTTTAGAGTTTCTCCTCCAGACCTCGAGTATTTATCCACAGAAAATCTGAGTGATGTCTGAACGCAGCAGCATATACTCCGGAGATTTCAACTGGAGCCAATAGAAAGAGAATGACGTTTATATACAGTGACTGTTTAAAGTGTCTGCACGCGACCTCTACGATCTCCGTGCTCTAATTAAACGTCTGCATTCTGTTTTCTGTTCGTCAGTTTGTTGTTCTCCTCTCTTTTGTGGATGTTGTCATTCCATTGGATTACACATAGCATTGATATAAAGGTAAATATTCTCATTATAACGTCGTGTAGTGGACTCTGTTGCTTCGGCCGCTACTTCTGCGTTGTTTATTTACATCACATCTTACCTCAGGAAATCCCCCGACCCCCCTCTGACAGGGATAGTCCCCCGCTGTGAGGAGCATATGTGAACGGCTAGGTCGGGAGAATCTCCGGAGAACTCCTCCTGTACTTATCTAGATATTATCTGGAGTGCAGATGTCAAAAAGGCTTTACTGAAGACAAATTCCATGTGTGTGTAAGCAAAGCCAATAAAGCTGATTCTATTCTATTCTACATTAGCTTGTAAGAAATGAACTCTATTATGCAAAATTACTTCTTTACGCAAACTGGAGTTTGATGACTGAATTTGTTTTTATCCTTTAAAGGCTGTGCTTTAAACATTGTCACATCCAAACAGTGTCTCTGATCACTAATATGATGTTCCTGTGCTGTTCATGTGTTTCTTAGTGGTGAGGGTCCAGACTTTCTTCAGTCATGTCGGTGAGGGAGTCCTTTAACCCTGAAAGCTACGAGCTGGACAAGAACTTTAGGCTCACACGCTTTGCAGAGCTCAAGGGCACAGGCTGCAAGGTTGGCTCTTCTTTTTTATTTACATTTGACCTTGAATGCATTATTGTCTTTGTATGGCTAATTTGATCAATTCATTTTCATTCGGTTAAGAAATATGACGTGAAAATAAAGCTGTCGTTGTTTTCTTGTCACAGGTACCTCAAGAGGTGTTACAGAAACTGCTAGAAACCCTGCAGGAGAACCACTACCAGGAGGATGAACAGTTTCTGGGGGCAGTTATGCCTCGATTAGGTAATTATGATATTGTAGCACTGTAAGAACATATTGCTTTGAAACCTGTTTGGGAAATGCTTCAGCTTCAACAATAAACAGTCACTACGACGTCCAATGTTATGGTAGATAAGATGATCTTAGATAAGAGAAACAAGTTATTATAAAAGAATGTCTTCATGTGGACTCCTTAAGGGAGGACGGGAAGTCTACGTTACTGTTGAAACCAGTTTTTCTTTTTGGGTGGCACTGAAAACATAGTTTCTTCAAATGAGATTTATTTGAAATGTCCGCCCCTCCCTCAGCAATGATTCTACAATTCACTTAGCAGACTCTTTTATCCAAAGCGACGTACATCAGAGAGTAAGAACAACACAAGCAAGGATCTAGAAAAAAGGGAACAATGTGAGTAAGAGCAAACGATCAGCTTTGAGTCTGATTGGACACACAGGTGCTGACAGGAAGTGACCAGAGGCAAAGCACAACATTGAGGGCAGTTCTTGAGAGCTCTAATCAGAATAGAAACCATCTTATAAGTCATCGTTATCAAACAAAAACCATCGTCATTACCATCATCATCATCAATAATATGGAGACCATCATCATTAAGTTAGGAGGTATTCATAAAGAGCTGGCTCTTTAGCTTTTTCTTAAAGGTGCAGAGGGACTCGTTCCACCTACATCCAGATGATGTAGTGCTATTGATCGATAATCCCCAAACCTAACATTTCTGAGGGAGGACACTTTGATCAGGGAAACAAGAAATCAGGCTGCAAGAGTCTGAAATTATAGCAATTAATTTAAAAAAAAAGAAATTGTATGCAAAGAATGAATGCTTTCTCACTCAGCATGTGTCAGTTTGACCTTCTTGATAGAGGCCTTGGTATTGTAGCCATGCGTTCTCACCGTTCTATATGCAGTGAGAAGAAGCTAAACTAGCTATCTGCTACCATCGGAACAAATAGAGCCAATTGTGTGGAGGGAAAAAAAACATTGCTACTGGCTTTATTTCTGATTCAGGAGGGACATGTTGCAAATGTGTTAAAAATTGAAGAACAGCAGGTAGATGTTGAAACCGTGAGTTATAGCCTATATGTACTCTTTGATATATGTTCATGTGTTGTACTTTATATAGTTAATGCAATACTGAACAGTGAAATCACTCATGTTTTCTTCCATTGTGAAGGCCGAGTGCAAAACGAATTGCCACAAAGTCAAATCTGAGCATCAGTCTCGAAATGGGCTGTTCAGAGTAAACACAGAAAAAAGGTGTCATTTGATAATTTCTTCGTCTGTTTAATCCAAAATCCGCCCAACCAAATGATGTCTGATGTCTCTTTTAAGATACTTTATGCACAGTGACATATCACAACGTACAGGGTTTTTTATAATTTGACATGTAAAGCTCTTGTTTCTGAAGGCATAGGCATGGACACATGTGTGATCCCCCTCAGACATGGAGGCCTTTCTCTGGTCCAAACAACAGACTACATCTACCCCATCGTAGACGACCCCTACATGATGGTACGATCCTCCTCTTTTATGAATATTACTTTTGTCTCAAAGGGATCTGATTGATTCTACATTAAAGTCTTTATATGTGATGTTTCACACTTAAATGTAAATCAAGTTTATCCTCTGAAAATAACTCTGAGTCATGACTGTCTACAATGGGTGTAACACCCGAGTCCCACTGTCTGTGATGTTTTCAGAGTTTTCAGAGTCCTATCTTCACTTTGTTTACATCGCCCGGACGGCCGGCTGACTCCTCCCCTCGTGTATAAAAGTTGTTTAATTGAGGGACTAGAGAAAAGAAGAATAACATACTGTACTCACTGCTTAACTGTGTTTCTAGATCACGCTCATTTCAGGTAAATTTACATGCAGTGTGAAGATACCAGCATAATAAAGATCACTAGCATTAGCATGCTAACACAACAATGCAGTGTGAGTTGTTTTGGTTTCATGCTGGTGCTCAAGGGCGACATCTGCTAGATCAAAAAATCACATATAAAGCCTTTAAAGTGAGAGTTGGACAGATGAAAGTTCTTAGTTTATATTTCTCTTTGAGTCTGATTGATTGAGTCTGTATTTTCCTGCTGTAGGGAAGAATCGCTTGTGCCAACGTTCTAAGTGACCTGTATGCGATGGGAGTGACAGAGTGTGACAACATGCTGATGCTTCTCGGAGTCAGCAACAAAATGTCAGAGAAGGTGAGCGGCATGTCATGTTCACGTTCAGATCTTCATCATAATCTGAATCAAACATTTAAAGATAGGATAATACTTCATTGATCTCCAGAGACTCGTGTAAATCAGTGTTCTTCTTCTTGTGATGAAAGATACAACAGAAAACTCAAAGTACTTGGTCTTTTTCGATTCTTTTATTTTTTTATTTTTAAAATCCAAAACAAAAAACGCCAACCAGAATTTACATTTTTAGAAACTTCAAATCCATTATTACCCCTTTACCTTTTCTAAAGATCAGGCTTTGCAGCAGCAAGACAGAGAAAGAAGTAAATACAAAATTCACAGGATAGATAAGATAAATACAGATAGAAACAACAATAGGATGTAGATACAGAACAATATAAATAGTTGAGCAATATGTGTAGTGGATGGTGAGTTAAAGTGACCAGTGATGATGTAAAGTGAATTGTGTGATCAAAAAGTTTAGAGTTATGGAAACAGCAGTAAAAGAGTAGTATGATATGACGATCTGAAGAATAACAGTGCAGCTATACAAAATAAAATTTATTATAGTGCAATAAGATACAGTATTCTGTTGTATACAGTGTATTATGTAGAATATAAGATAATAATAATAATAATAAATTTTATTTATAAGCGCTTTTCAAAAACTCAAAGACATTTTACAAAAGTTAAAAAACAGAAAGAACAGCACAGTAAGGACAGACTAACAGACATTGCAACATTTCACACAAATCATAACGATAACAACAATAAAGGTAAACAACAGAAAATACATTACAATCATACATTAAAAGCTTGTTTAAAGAGGTGAGTTTTAATAAGTGATTTGAAAGTGGGAGGGTCGGTGCAGTGTTGAATGACAGGGAGTGGGAACGCAGTACAATATAATAATAATGTAAGATACAGCATATATCAATCGTAAATAATATTAATATTCATAAAGTGGTCTGGCACTGCCGTTGTACAGTCTGATGGCTGTGGGGACAAAGGAGCACCTGAAGCATAAAAGCATATTATTCTGTATTAATGAAGGTACAAAGTGTTGAGAATGATATCCTCATTATGTTGTTTCTCTGGGTCTTTACAGGAGAGAGATAAAGTCATGCCGCTGGTCATCCAGGGATTCAAAGACGCATCGGAGGAGGCAGGCACGTCTGTAACAGGAGGACAAACAGTGCTCAACCCCTGGGTGGTGATGGGAGGTGTTGCAACGACAGTCTGCCAGCCCAACGAATTCATCATGTGTGTTCAGATTTTCTACTTTGTATTTGCTGACTTGTTATGTTTGTGCTCCTCGATTTCTCCTTCAAGAATGTGTCATCGCTGTCACATGTTGAAATGCTGATTTTGACTTGTTTCCCCTCAGGCCGGACAACGCAGTGCCAGGAGACGTGTTGGTGTTGACAAAGCCTCTTGGAACACAAGTGGCCGTTGCAGTACACCAGTGGCTCGATATTGTAAGTTTCTCTACTCACACATGATTCATTTTTTGCCAGGAAATGTTTTGATTTACACACACTAATGCACATCGTCCTGTATACTTTTTTTTTTTTTTTGATCTCTCAGCCTGAGAAGTGGAACAAGATCAAACTGGTGGTGACTCAGGAAGACGTCGAGCTGGCGTACCACGAGGCCATGATGAACATGGCTCGACTCAATAGGACAGGTAGAAGCACTCTTTATATGTCCTAATAATTGATTTACTTTAACTTCAGTTGTGCATCTGCTGTCAGGCATCAAACTGTTGAATGGAGACTTTTTTTTAATTTGTGTAAACGGCAGCAGCCTCTGCAGCAGCCAGACTGAACTGCACCCTCACTCGCTCAGTCCGGTGTTCTGCGTCGTATAAACCAGTGCAACCAATATACCAGTTTAACATGCAGACACACGAGGCGCTGTTAGTACAAGTGCAGCTGCCACAATCACCCACTGCATGCGACATACCGTATTTTCCGCACTATAAGGCACACTTAAAAGCCTTTAATTTTCTCAAAAGACGACAGTGCGCCTTATAATCCGGAGTGCCTTATATATGGATCAATTGGTTAATTGGTTGATCCATACTGGTTGTACACGGCGCATGTTGGATGCCGTACTCGCCCAACTGTTCAATTCGGACACTGAAGAAGAAGAATTCGAGGGATTCGTGGACGGGGAATGAACTGAAAAAGTGAGCTTTACGTGTTATACGTAACTGAACAATGTTGAGTTACGCACTAACGCAGGGTGCCCAACCTTTTTTGAACCAAGATCTACTTTTAAAGTTACCAGTCTGCCGAGATCTACCAGTCCACATAGTGAGCCATAGCCTTTACCAACAGCCTACAAACGCATTTAATACTCACACAACAAACAGAAAATAATAAATGAGAGTTCTGTAAAAAATAACTCGTGCGTGCGTGCGTGCGTGCGCGCTTAATACTCGTAGCATAGTTTCTATATATGACTTTTTGGTAAAACATTTCCCCCCCCGGTTTTACCTGCACGTCATTGCGCATGCCTGCACTCTCTCTTGCGCGCGCTCTCTCTCTCCCCCACTCGCTCCCTCGCTCGCTCTCTCATGCACGCAGCAATTTCATGAATAAATGAAAAATTAAATACACACAGGTCGGAAGTATACTTGGGCTCCCAACACAGGTATCGTGTGGGAAACAGTGCAATGAGATGAAATTGAAATCACTTTTCTATTTTACAATTGTATTTTATATTGACAAAACATCTCGCAATCGACTGAGAATCAGTCAGCGATCTACCTGTCGATCGCGATCGACTGTTTGGGCACCCCTGCACTAACGTTTGAATTAGCGGTATCAGACTGTGTTTCTTTTACGTGTTTACAACTGAACAAGACTGGGAGATATTGTGAATATGCACATTAACGTTTGAACAACGTTGAGTTATTGTGAATGCACTACGTATAAAACTACGTTTTGAGAGTTAAGAGAAACGTCAAAGAAATAATTTATTATTTGGGGAAATCATCTTATGTACTTTTGTTTTTGTAGTTTTATACGTTACGTTTTATACGTATTTATATTTATATATTCACAATATCTCCCAGCCTTGTTCAGTTGTAAACACGTTCTATTCTATGCGCCTTATAATCCGGTGCGCCCTATATATGAAAACAGTTCTAAAATAGGCCATTCATTGAAGGTGCGCCTTATAATCCGGTGCGCCTTATAGTGCGGAAAATACGGTATATTCCGGATTTTACGGTACTATTCGTACTATTCGTACTAATGCATTATTAAGCCTTGTATTAACAAAACTCAGTGTATACTGTTTTTGTTTTATGATTCAGAACTTAATGAATGTTTTTTTCTGTTACATTAAAATGTTAAAATCTGAAATAATATTTCCCACTATCATAATGGTTATTGGCCGCTTTCAAACTGGCACACAGTGTTTGACTGAAAAATGTGTTATAAGTATTTTATGAATCAACATTTGTTCATAAATTGAATAATAACCAAGTCCTGCACATATGGACTCATTATATGATCATCTGACAGAAAATATGATATTGCCAGAGTGTTACTTATGAAAAAAACGACTGAGTTAAACCGTAAATTATAGGATTATTACATGTTTATGACTTTATGGAATTTTCTCATTAAATTGACAATTATCTCTCATTTTCATGTCATTTTTACAGTAAAAATGTTTCTTTTCAACATATTATGACTGTAAAAATGACATTTCTGTACCGTTTCTTGATTGACGGTAATTCAATGTTTTTACTATGGTGATAAACCTTTTTAGATTTTACGGTCTTTTCCTGTTACCATTCGACGGTTTGTTACCGTATTTCCTCAGACTTTTTTTTACAGTGCACCCATTCAAACCAGTTAGTCATTTCGATCCCTTCTTTAAATCCATCTCCTTCTCTCTGTGGCGTCCTTTACAGCGGCTGGTCTCATGCACACCTTCAACGCTCACGCAGCGACAGACATCACGGGGTTCGGCATCCTCGGGCACGCACAGACGCTGGCACGGCAACAACGCAGTGAAGTGTCATTCGTAATCCACAACCTCCCGGTGCTCGCCAAGATGGCCGCTGTGTCTAAGGCCTGTGGAAACATGTTTGGACTCATGCATGGCACCTGCCCGGAAACATCAGGTGTGTTTGTGTGTGAATACACAAGACTTCTAGAATTCTAGAGCCGTTTTGTGTGAAGTGTATTTAGAATATGGCCGTCCTGGCGATGTAAACAAAGTGAAGATAGGACTCTGAAAACTCTGAAAACATCACAGACAGTGGGACTCGGGTGTTACACCCATTGTAGACAGTCATGACTCACAGAGTTATTTTCAGAGGATATATTTGATTTATATATTTAAGTGTGAAAAATCACATAGAAAGCCTTTAAGTAGAGTAATCCTAAAAAAAATTATTTATAGGGGATCAAAACAAATAAAAAATGGTAGAACTTGATAGTTTAGCTTTTCCAGTGTGTGAAGCTCCATCGTCCACGATCGAGTCTCCCTTGGTCAAAGTTTTTCCCCAATCTGAATTAGCAGTTTTTTTCAGTTCCAGCTAAGAACAGAGTACCACAATAATGTAGGGACAAGATTAGTGTTAACTATTGAAAAGGTTCAGAGACACTAGGAGCAAGAATGTTAGAATAATTATAATAATAATAGCTTTATTTATAGAGCACCTTTAAAAACAAAGTGCTGTGACAGACAGAGCAAATACAGCAACACAACAACAGAACAGAGATCAACAGAGAGGGCAAAATTATAAAAATGCAAATAACAGGAATAATATTCAACAACAGGAATAAGAGGCAGTTCAGTACAAAGAAGGAAAATTAGATTAAAATGAACCAGGAGAGAACAAAATAAAAATTGAGGGATAGTGGGACGACGTCACATCACAGGCTGTAAACACAGAATGAAGATTAAAAGAAGAGATAAACAGGACATTGGTTAAATGAATAAAACAACAGAGAGCTGAAGAATTAAACCATAAAAGGAGGAATTTAAAAAGACTGAGAGCAGTAAAATGAATACAGGAAGGGAAACATTTAAAGGCTAAAACATTTAAAGAAGAGAAAGATAATAAGGTTAAAAGCAATAAAATGAATAAAAGGAAGAGATAGATCTTTAAAGGAGAAATCACATAAAAGCAAGTCTTTAAAAGTGAGTTTTAAGAAGTTTGAGTGATTGATGCCACTGACTCTGCCCGCCTTATCTCCTCAGGCAGGTTGTTCCAAAGTCGACAATGATATGATGCCCCCCCCCCCCCCCGGGTTTAATTTGTGCTGGTGCTCATTTGATGATGCCCCGATCTGCAGTGACAGACTGATCACTCACCAGCAGCACGACACATTATTCAACATCTCATGTGAGCCCTTTGTGACCGACCAAAAATCCTTTTTTGTTACAGGAGGGCTGCTCATCTGTCTGCCTCGGGAGCAGGCCGCACGCTTCTGCGCCGAGATCAAATCCCCGAAATACGGCGAGGGCCACCAAGCGTGGATCATCGGGATCGTAGAGAAAGGAAACCGCACCGCTCGCATCATCGACAAACCCCGGATCATAGAGGTGGCACCGCAAGCAGCCACGCAGAATGTCAACCCAACTCCTGGTGCAACCTCTTAATCCTCCCCCTCTTCTTTTTGCTGCGTCGGAACCCAAAAACCGGAACCCAGAAGATCTGATTTTTTTAGATACATAAACTGCAAAAAAAAAAAAAACATCCTAGAGTGTTGAAATATATACACATAAAGTAGTACTTACACAGAAGAGACTGTGTTGACGTGTATCTACATGACAAGCAGCCCCACACAGTGGCTCTAAAGGGGCATGACATCACCAAGTGGACTCTACCTGCAGTAACCACATGAAAAAAAAAAAATAGAGCATACTTAAAAAAAAATCCATTTGCCTTTTGTGTCCGTTTTATTCTGTTTTTGTTTGATATGTGTGAATGCCGGGCAGCTTCTGAGTAGAGAGTGCTGTTGATACAGATGTTAATACGGTTGATTCAATTTGAATCTTAGGAAGTTTGTTGTTTGTTGCCTCTCTGGGTCTCATCCAGCAAGCGGCCCATGTGACCATGTTTATGTTTGTCCATTCACTTTGTACAGTTAAAAAAGCTTTAGTTTTAGTTCATTGATGTAACTGATGCCTTGAAAGAAACTTGAGTGTGACCAGAATGGTTTGTTTTTTTATTACTTTGACTTTTTGTATTGCCCCCTCCTGAACTAATAAATATTCAATTAGAAGATGTTTTTTTTTGTTCGCCCTCTATACGGGTGCTGCATTCGAGAATACAACAATATTTTAACTTCCAATATTAACTGCACATTGAATCATTAAAAAAAAAAGGATATGTGCTGCCCCCTGGTGCAAAAACCTGCAAACCCCCTCTGCTGGAGAAAAATCACGTCATACTTTTATTCCCAGCATGTCATCAGATTTAGAGTCAGATGGTGATTATTGATTGCAGTGTTTTTGTTGCAGATGCTTCAGTAGAGTTGCCTGACTTATTGTTATGCAACTTCCAGCTGTTCAATGTCCAGATTTGTTTTTTGTTTGTCCTCATAACCTGGATGAATCAGCAGGGCCTCTGTAAATGTTCAAATGGATATCAGGAACAATAAATGACCTCCACAACACCTCTTAAAATAAACTTCTCTTACAAAATAGATTCTTCTTCTGATTGTGTTCATACAATTACTTAAAAAGTGTAAATGCAGAAAATTTACGAGTAAATCAACCAGTATGATGAACTTATTTGTAATAGTTTAGATTAGATTTCATTTTTTTAAAGCTGCTGATCGTGAGCTGTGTCATAGGTGCATAATGACTTTAATCATTTTTTACTCAAAAACAAAACAGCCTTAAATGGACAACACAATCATTTCACACTCATATGTAACCATGGATTCATATTTCCAGACATCTTGAAGATCTATTTACAAAAGTAATATGTACAAACCAAAGAACATGTATAAAGAGTATATTTACATTTATTACATAAAACTAGATTTATATACAGTCACACTGACAAAATGAACCTTTCCGAAAACAAAAATTTCCATCATTAAAGGGACATATCTTTACCTTTTTAGCATCAAAAAGACAGCGCCGAAGTTCATAAATACCAATAAATTAGAGGAGTAACAACTATTCTCTTGTGGATGACAGAGTGGAATGACCAGCTCCCATAATGTGACCCACCACACAAGAAGACTAGAAATGTGCAAATGGAACCAAATGCAGCAAATCATCTCGGTGTCTTGTCATGCGTGCTTTTTCCCATTTTCCAGCTGAACGTGCTTTGCATTCTCCACCCTCTTATCATTTTCAGGCTTGAAAAGTGATTGGATATCGAGCATGGCCTTCCAAATGTGCTGACCAAAGCGGTATGAATCCTGCGGGGCAGACCGAAAGGCAATAACAGAAAGGGAGAAAGAGCAGATGGAGAAGGACAGCACAAACCCTAAACAGATGGATGTTTATTAACCACATTCAAGTAGCAGCTATATTTTCTTTGTCATGCTTAGGGTGGGATCTCGAATGCCCTTATTACTGCTGAGTTGTAGGTTGTAAGCTTTAAGGATCACTGACAACATTTCTTTGATGCAGTCTGAGTCATCAGCAACTGAGTGCAATTAAAACAAATGAAACCATAGACTGTAGAGGGTAACCTGATCATATTTCAAGATAAAACAAAACAATTGATTACCCATACACTGCAGTCTGACAATGTAAGGATCCTAGTAGCCTACTAGACAGTGTTAGCGTTAGCTAGCAAGTACTTAAAGGCTTAATATGTGATTTTCACACTTTAATGTAGAAATCAAGTATCTCCTCTGAAAATAACTCTGTGAGTCATGACTGTCTACAATGGGTGTAACACCCGAGTCCCACTGTCTGTGATGTTTTCAGAGTCCTATCTTCAGTTTGTTTACATCGCCCGGACGGCCGGCTGACTCCTCCCCTCGTGTATAAAAGTTGTTTAATTGAGGGACTAGAGAAAAGAAGAATAACATACTGTACTCACTGCTTAACTGTGTTTCTAGATCACGCTCATTTCAGGTAAATTTACATGCAGTGTGAAGATACCAGCAGAATAAAGATCACTAGCATTAGCATGCTAACACAACAATGCGAGTTGTTTTGGTTTCATGCTGGTGCTCAAGGGCGACACCTGCTGGATCAAAAATCACATATAAAGCCTTTAAAAAGCTATTATCACTGTTTTGCAGTTTAACAAGTTACAATATAAACGGCTTTATATTGTAGCCCAGCCCACATAATGTTAGCTTTGGGGGGAAAAACAGCAGGAAAATGTACTTGCTAGCTAACCTGAGTTTAGCCTGAAGTGCTTGAACATGAATGCTGGCTTAAGCTATTTTCTAAGGCTAATGGGTTTTGAACTGATTAACTTTGAAACATGGTCAGAAATCTCTTCATATTGGCTCTGTGGAGTGTCTTTTCAGATGCTCGTTTGGCAAGAAGCTGTAATTTAATGACTAGCGCATGACTTACAACCTGGAAGCCCATTCCCGCCAATTAAAAAAATAAAATTTAAAATTTGGCTTTGTTGAAAATGATGAGATAATAAAGTCATAATAATTTTCTCTTTGTTTATCGTGTCCCTTGCTCAAGTGGTTTATTACGTGACTTCAGTCCAGTGGCCTGTATGTACATAACTTGAATGAAGTCTTCAATGTGACCGCGATGCATCCTTGAATGTCAATTATGACTTTTTCAACTTTTTAACTCATAATTTTGACTTTTTATCTCATTATTATGGCTTTATTATCTCATAATTTTGGCGGAAATGGGCTTCCATACTTACAACCTGGAAGACAGTATGACTTTAAAAAAACATTTGAGCTTTCAACCCTTGCATGATTTCAGAAGAAGATGGCCACCTTGCAAAAAAAAAGGTAATATATGCCACGCTGTTATTTTGTGCTCTTACTGTGTCGGGGCTGGAGAACTTGCTGGAGATGTGGAATGTTACAAGGTTTTCCCCAACGATAATATAAGACACACCATAACCATCATCAGCCACCTGCAAGTAAACAGATGCAATACGATATTTTACAAAACATATTATATGTGTTACTTATAACATTAGATAATTTAACTCACTGGGCCAAATCCACCACCAGCACCCACATATTTTGGGAACTTGTTGATGTCAACTAAGTTAAGCTGCTGCTGAGGAGTCTGGCTGGTTGACAACTTCCAGGGCTCTGATAGCACCTGGCGAAAAAAAGTGTATGTTGTATGGAAAAGAAATGTGAAGGCAAAGCTCAGATTTATCAAATGATCAAAGATGATCAAAATTACCTTCTCCAGAAAAGGGGAGTTCACCCCGAGGTATTTGGACACAATGTAGAGACAGAAGAGATGGCGGTCGATGCCAGAACCAGTCATGGCCAGACGATACATGTTTTGATGCTTATCCGACGCCGTTCGAAATAGGGCAAGTCTCTGGGCATTCTGGGCAGAGGGAGACAACCAGCACATAATAGTGACATAAAAAACCCACATAATTTACATGACAGAACAACATCTCTACTTTTTTTCTGTGAATGCAACCCTGCCATGGACAGCAGAAAGATCAGAGTCCATGGCATTGACATTCAGAGACATATTGTCACTGGGTCTTGGTGACCAAGTCTTTAGCAAGCACAATGTGACCTCTCAAAGCGTGAACCTTCATACAGTATACACTGACTGGAAACTTCTAAACCGGATAATAACCCAAAATGAACCAAAACTTTTGTTGCTAAGGAATAAAAACTACTCCTGTTAAGACTGCGTTTAAAAATCTCAATATTCTCGGCTCCTCTCAGACCCTCAGGAAAGTTGAATAAAAGTCTGGTTCTGCTGGGGTTAACATTTTAAAACCCTTAAAACTCATTTATTCAGTCTGGCTTTTATATAGTGCTTTATATAAATTCAAATCTTAACATTATTGTATTGTCTTTTTTATCCTACTATAATTTTAAATATTTCCTCTTATGTATTAATTTTAATATCTTGTTGCTTTTATGTGTCGTATTTTATTTTTTCATTTTTATATATATATTTTTTTTAATTCTTATTGGTGTGCATTAGTCTCTCAATGATTTTATAAACTACTTTTTGTCATTAACTTTTCCGCACTCTTGTAAAGCACTTTGAACTGCAATTTAATTTGTCTGAAAGGTGCTATATAAATAAAGTTTGATTGATTCCACTACTACAAATGCATAATCATTTTCTTGAACTCTCAAAATTTAAATAAGTAGTTATTTTTTATAATATAATATATAATTTTTTTCTGGCTTCGTCTTACCGTTGCACCTGGGTCCTCCATGGCTCTGACAAAAGCAACCGCCTCAGAGGTGCAGGAGCGTACCGTCTCCGTCCGTCCGTCTCTGAACATACGAGTCATCGACGACTCGTATGTCAGACAGAACACTCCCTGGTCCTTTAAAGCAGAAGGAGAAAAGTCAATTAGTAAGAAAAGGAAATTATGGAAGTTGAACATTCACAAAAACAAGTGTGAGCAACAATGGAAATGGTATCATTACCCTGAACTGAGCCAGCTGCAGGGCCAGCTGAATGAAGGCATCAGGGCTGGTCCTGCATTTCTTGATCAGTCCTTTCCCAAAGTCACTAAACAAACAGGCATGGAAGTCCACATCATCGGATATCTGCTTGGCTGATAGATATGAAGTCTCAATCGCGTCTTGGCACTAACAGAAAGGAAACGAGACAAACATCCCAGTTCATTTTTGTGCTAGAAATACATTGAAGTGACTGGTAATAAATATTGTAAGGCTTTACTCTACCTCCTTTGAAATCTGCCACTGCAGCCGAGCGGGATGAGGCAGGCCTTTGTTCACGTCCCCTTTACAGTGTCCCTCCTCTGAGTAGCCAAGATGGAAGCAGTCTGTTGCAAGGACGTACTACAGAGGCAGAGAATGACAGCTGTAAATATATGCAAACTTAAAAATGATCAGAATCAGAATCAGGTATTTATTGTCCAGGTATGTTTATACACACACAAGGAATTTAACTTCAGTGAACTGTGCTCTCTTATGTACAGGTACAACATTAAATATCAACAATAAACAGAATAAGAAAAGACTAATATTTACATGACTAAATATGAAACAGTGCAGTGGTGAATAGTGCAAAAGATGCAGAAGTAACATGAGAAGTAAAATGCAGTTATGTGACAGATGGGTCAATTAAGATGTCAATTACAGTATTTACATAAATAAGTGTGCATGTGTTGATTATTTAAATTAAATAATATATGTATACATATATGTTTATTCACAGTGAATTATTGCTTTTATGATACAATATTGAAAGACATTTTCACCTCCCACATGTGTCCTACGATTGGTGCATCGGCCCAAGAATGCTCGACATTAATTCCCATTTTGCCGTTAGGGTAAGAGATCAAGGTGAAAGATTTGTCAAACCACCTGTGAGAAAAGAAGGAACAATGATTTATTTTCTGGGAGAGATGAGACAATTAAAGCTTAAAGGCTTTATATGTGATTTTTTGATCCAGCAGATGTCGCCCTTGAGCACCAGCATGAAACCAAAACAACTCGCGCTGCATTGTTGTGTTAGCATGCTAATGCTAGCGATCTTTATTATGCTGGTATCTTCACACTGCATGTAAATTTACCTGAAATGAGCGTGATCTAGAAACACAGTTAAGCAGTGAGTACAGTATGTTATTCTTCTTTTCTCTAGTCCCTCAATTAAACAACTTTTATACATGAGGGGAGGAGTCAGCCGGCCGTCCTGGCGATGTAAACAAAGTGAAGATAGGACTCTGAAAACTCTGAAAACATCACAGACAGTGGGACTCGGGTGTTACACCCATTGTAGACAGTCATGACTCACAGAGTTATTTTCAGAGGAGATACTTGATTTCTATTTAAGTGTGAAAAATCACATATAAAGACTTTAAACAGTGCTTGAAGCTAGTATCAGAGACCTTCTCTTGATATCTCTGCCTACCTGTCGTAACATTTTCCATGAAGAAGGGACTTGGCGTAACTATCCAGTGAACGGGTCTTTGTCGGGTCATAACCCTGTGGCTCATCATCCAGTGTCAGGAAGAAGGCAGCTGACTCCACAGCGTCCAAGGACACTTTGTTTGCTCCCTGGCTAAAGTGCTTAATCCGGGTCCGAGCCCATGGAACTCTAAAAACAGGATGTGAGAATACGATTATTTAGCTGCTTTTTTCCTCGTGTACGTTCATGTGTGTGCTGTTCCAAGTTTGTTGTTGGATTTCCTACCTGTTCCCCGCAGTCAGGGCAGCAAGTTTGAGTTCTCCTGGCTGTGGTTCTGATGTGTCATTTAGGATCCTTTGAAATTGTGTCTCCAGTTCACTGGGTAAGAGGTGGCGCCCTCCTGTGTAAAGCCACACCTGGAAGAAACGACCCTTGTGGTAGACGACCAGATGCTTGCGGTCGGTCAAGTGCTGCACGATATCTAAAGGGGAGGGGACAACAACCAAAAGATAGGTACAAGAGGCAGGAAGTAAGAGGAATTGTGCAGACGGCTATTCTCAAAGATAAAAATTGAGAATATTAGAAAAGATAATTGTATGGTAACAAGGTCATCTTAAAGTAGAGTTGAGCAGTGTGTGTGTGTGTGTGTGTGTGATTCTGTCTCTTTTACAGGTTGTACTGTTTTTCATATTTATTTGTGTTGTATACACATAACGACTTTCATTCCTGTTAATGTTGTTTGTTCATTTAAAGTGCAAGAGTGGAAAACTCACAAAAAATAAAATACAATAACTTAATAAAAATAAATAGATAAGCATGGGGAAAAAAGGTATATTTGAGAAGAGTAGTATCAAAAAATAATAATAATACTAATAATAATACAAAATGACGAGACAAACATAAATAAAAAATAAATACAAAAAATAATAAAATATATAAATAAACATTTATTTTTATCTATTTATTTGTATTAAGTTATTGTATTTCTTTTGTGAGTTTTCCACTCTCGCACTATTATTCTTGTCTTTGAACTAAGAGGTCTATTTGTTGGACTGGGAGGGTTGTTTATAGGGAGAAGTGATACTGGGTTACTGGGTTTTTGAATGTTTCTGGGGGAAAAAAGAAAAATGTTGATGTGCATTCCAACTGCACTGAATGTCTTGAACTTGCTTTAATAAAAATATGTTGAAAAAAAGAAAAGAAAGTATAAGCAGATGGATGAATGTTCCCTTTAGTCCATTATCTTTACAGTTGTTTACCGGTTTCGATCCCAGGAATGCGGGTGGTGTTAAACATCCTCTCCATCTGAGTGGAACACATTGGAACAGTCCCCAAAGCCCTCAGCTGAGAACAGAAAAGAATCAAATAAATACTTAGTTTTATAGTAGATTCACTGATATATTGTTTATACTTGAACTTGTGAGAAGATAATGGATAGAAGAAGAAGTAGAGTGACAAAGAGATGAGTTTGTATGTTTTAATCCATAAACTGATTGGCTGATCAGAGTTAAAGCAGAGAAGTGGTGAAGTCATACCGGTGCATGTTCACCACGTTCCAGTTTGCGTCTGTACTGCAGCATTGCATGCACCATATTTCCAGCTCGTGCAGCCTGTCGGTGTGTCGGGGTCACGTACAACAGGTCCTTTACATGAATCCAACAGATGGAATATATCAGGAAATAGAGACAAGCATTACAAAAAATGATTTAGGATTTAGATAGAGGATATACTTGATTTATATTACATTTACAAAGTTTGAAAAATCACAAATAAAGCCTTTAATATTTTCTTATCTGTTATGAATTCAAACAAATATACCCCACTGACATAATACACTCAACTAGCGACAGTCTATCTTACCATTATATAGAAGTTACTGTTAACCATGATAGGACTCCTGCCCCTGAGGTAGATGTACTCCTCCCACCAGTCACTCACCTATAAAGTTAACACTTCGTTATTAAACAGAACATTGAACAGTATTTGTTATACCACTTTAGCACACTACTCACATAATTAGTTGCCCACCAGGATTTTAGGATGAGATACCTCTGGAGGAGGGCGGCTTTGGAATCTTTAAAGTCATTGGCCAAAATCTCCATTTGGTTGTATTGTTTACTGTCCAGCAAAGGTTGAACTGACTCCAGGTACTGCGGGGGGAAATTAGGTTTATGTTTTTTTAGGACAGTGAAACATTGTTGTGTGGAAACACAGCTGATACAATAGACCCTGTAACTCCATAACAATGCAGGTCAGTAAGTGCAATCACAGCTTGCAATGTTTGAAGGATTTTATAATAATAAACTGACATGACAAACCACCAACAGTTTTTTCTTCCAGTACTGTCTTGAATCTTTCCCCGTCTCTCATTTCAAGACATAATTGGGCCTAAGTCATGAGTGTGTTCCGTACAAGGATAGTAATTACAAACCCTGTGAATTGTGTCATCCACATTGGGCACCGGGAGCCTGGGTAAAGAGGCCTGGAAACTATAGAGGAGTGGTCTGCGCCCAGAGAACATCTTCACCAGGCTCTGTAACAAACAGTAATCAGAACATCAAAAACACACACAATTCAAATATTTTTTTAACATTTACTCAATTATTAACCATAAGTAAGGGGTACAAAGATTAAACAGATGACCAGACGGTTTATCAACACAGCTGCTATTATCCTCTGTTGTCAAACTCATGGTGGAAAGCTCCAATGTGACTGTACGTGTTCTATTGCTTAGTTGCAAGTTGTAGCCTACATTATATATGTATATATATATATATGTATATGTTTGGTAATCTGACAAATCTTCTTCATTTCAATACTTCCTGATTTTGATCAGCAACTGGAAAGACAATTGAACCTGAAAATCTAGAGTAAAACCAGGCCATATTTTAAGATAAAACAACTTCTTTTGGTCGTTCACTTGCTGATGTCGGAAACAGCTAACGTTAGCATTTAACCACCTAAGGCTAATATTTTTAGTTTAGCAGTGTTACATGATACAAGAGGAAAGCAAAAAAGTAAAACAGCAAGGATTTTAAGCCTTTCCTAGGAATTTTGTTCCTGGCTAATACATAATATTATAGCTAACTAGTCGTTCGCTAGGATGTGTTTGAATGCTAGCATTATGCTAATTTTAATGTTCTAGTTTTAAAGTCTTTAAATGTGATTTTTCACACTTAAATATAATATAAATCAAGTATATCCTCTGAAAATAACTCTGTGAGTCATGACTGTCTACAATGGGTGTAACACCCGAGTCCCACTGTCTGTGATGTTTTCAGAGTTTTCAGAGTCCTATCTTCACTTTGTTTACGTCGCCCGGACGGCCGGCTGACTCCTCCCCTTGTGTATAAAAGTTGTTTAATTGAGGGACTAGAGAAAAGAAGAATAACATACTGTACTCACTGCTTAACTGTGTTTCTAGATCACGCTCATTTCAGGTCAATTTACATGCAGTGTGAAAATACCAGCATAATAAAGATCGCTAGCATTAGCATGCTAACACGACAATGCAGCGCGAGTTGTTTTGGTTTCATGCTGGTGCTCAAGGGCGACATCTGCTGGATCTAAAAATCGAATATAAAGCCTTTAAAAGTGTTGTTCTAACTTAAATTTGACCTGATGTCCCTTCAGATTCTCACCTTTCAATATCTCTTCATTTACTAATCACTTGGCAAGCGTTGCACATTACTATTACTTACAACCTTGAATACATTCGTACAAAAGTATTTGAGCTTCTCATTCTGAACATGATGTCAATGGAAAGGATGGCCTTGTCAATATGGTGAAGTGCAAACAGTAGCAAAACAATTCAAGGCTCAGAAAGAGTGAGTGAAAGACAAAAGGTCAAATGTACCAGCCACAATTTGGTTGAAGTGCTCATTTTCCCGTGGGATTCAAAAATCCATCCATGGTAGGAGAGCAGAGCTTTCAGAGTGTATCTCAGGAGGTAGATGAGGAAGAGCCACAGTCCGGTGGCAAACAGGATGGCGCTCAGCACAGCTCGGGTCTGTACTGACACATAGTGTCTGTTCAGAAAAGAGTCAATCAAGAAATCAAACAGAAAAATGTAGTATTGCTTCAGCAGATACTGGAAAGAGATGATAATAGCAACTGCAGGAGATTTTTTTTCTGACCTCTGTGGCAGGTTTTCCTTGATTGTGTCAATCATTCCGAGGGAGGGGTCTATGCGAGTATACAAGGAGCTCATCATGGCAATCACAACTATCAGCCAACTGGATGGACTGGCAGGATAGACTCCAGCCAATACACCATTCTGAAAATGAAATTCAACATGTTTCAATGTAAGTAAGTGAGTAGTCTGGAAATATCTATACCTTAAATGCTTGTTTGTTATGTTACTGGTTGACATTTTACAACACTGATAGTCAAAGAATTGAAGCGTTGGCTGTTGTACCTTAAATTGAATGGCTTTCTTCTTCCACGCAGTCAGTCCCGACAGGTAGATGTTTTTGATGACCTCTTGGCTCAGTTTAAGGTCCACGCCATCCGGGCGCACAGTGAACTGGAAGCCCACCGCCTGATGGGCCTCGGCCATCTATGAAAGAGAACAAACGTGGAAACAAGATGGAATTCAATTTAGTCACCATGGCTTCCCAATGGAAATATAGTAATAAAGGTGAAAGCAGCCTTTTAAGATATATTTAAAGTCTACAGTGTACTCATGCAATTTCAGCTTTGTGTGCTTTTTCTAAAGAGATCTTAAAGTAGATATTCTGTTTCTTCAACTATTCAAAGATCAGATAGCTCAAGCTTTTTCCTATTAGTTCTGCACAGGAAGTATTGTGCTGTAAAGATCCACAATCTGAGCACAGTTATAATATTTTGATAATATATACCTTACCACTTAAACCATATAACAGTTACCAAGAATCGTTTTTTAACTACTTAAACAAGGGTTACAAAAAACACTGGTATAGACTTTCATAGCTATTACTCAAAATTTGGACATTCATTCAGGTAAAGTTGCAATGTTTGTAAAGTGTTTTAGAATGTGATAGGGCAGGCCGGTCTCAGAAATGAAATGTCAGCTGGGAAAAAAAAATACTGTAAAGTCATAAAGGCTCAGTAATTGTCTTAAACGTAACTCCAATGGTCGAGTGAAATTCTACACACAAATATTTTGAGTTCACAAACTACTCCGTTTAATTGGCCAGCTTGTCAGGTCTTGGATTACTTTTTTTCCATGTCATCTGACTGAACAGTCACTAAGTGGGACAAAGTTCAATGGCCAGATATAGCCATGCACCGGCTGAGCATGTGTGCACACCTCAGATGGGCATGAAAATATAAACAATGGCTGAATGTTAGGCTCTTTAGCATTACATGAGCTCTTTGATGATTTATTAGACAGGTTGAAGGTCAGCATTCATTTTTACTTGAACAATTAAACAAAGGTGAACTTCCCTTTTAAGAGCTCAACCTTTTCAAATAAACAAAAATACTCTCATTTAAAGCATTTGACATGTTTTACTGTCATGTTATTCAAAAACAGAATCCTGCACAATAGCAAACCTGCAAAATTATCAGCAGTTAACACAAGTACATCTTATCTAAAACTAAAACTAAAAAACTAGAACTAAAAAAATCCCCTTGTACCTTTTTCAGGCCAGATTCAGTAGAATCCAATCAGAAGGAGTCGAGCTGTGACTTTGTTTCTGCCAGTGATTCAGTAGAACTCTTCTGTACTCTGGCTTGTATGCTCTCAGTGACTCCTGTGTCCTTGAATTGGCTTTCCTCAGGTAGTGAGATCAGGGCTGTTGTCTCTGTGCTTTCCAGACCTCCCTCCTCCCCTCTTCCCCAACGTAAACTCTCTTTTTCTCTCTCTCTCTCTTTCACTCACTTCCTCCCTCATGACATGCTTCTTTTTGTAACACGACACCAAATACAGAGAGCACCTAGCCTCAAGTGTCATGTGCCTTCAGGTCACTGCTGTGAAACTGTATATCCTCTTGCAGTGCTGTGTTTGGATGTCACTTACACCAATGTGACGTTTCCTTTTCAGAGACTGAAAGTGCAGGCAGTATTAAACTGTGAAAACAGAGGTAGAATAGTGTGAAGAGAATAAATAAAAGATGTCTAAGGTTATTAAAGTCGAGGATTTTGCCTGGATAGGAGCATTGGTAAATGTGACCTCACAAAGAAGTGTTGTTGTAACTGTGTGATCTTTTTTGGATATAATACCAAACCAAAGTGCAAAAATACTGTTACAAGGAAAGGATGATTTTTGTCAAATGTAAATCCTTTTTTCATTAATAATCTTTATTTACGCAGATAATTTTTATTGAGATTCGGACCAATTAAGGCCAAAGTCCTAAGAGAGTCATGGTTTAATGCAACAATATTTTACTTTGGTCATTTTCTATTCCTCAGAGTATATAATACCCAGTGCTTTGGGCATTAGTCTAACTGTCGACCTTAAATACATTTTACCTGCTTTTTGTAACATAACAATGAGTAAGGTCTTTTACCTGCTTTTTGTAAAGTGTCTCGAGATAACACTTGTTATGAGTTGATGCTATACAAATAAAAAATGATTGATTGATTGATTGATTAAAAACCCACCGACCCTGGGAAAATATCTCCTTACATTTGAACAGGACTTCACAAAACATAAAAAAAAAGTATTTTAAAAGTGGAGATAAAAAACAGATTCATAGCGGGTATATATGGGTAGATGAGGCAGGGCTTTGAGAGAGAGCGTTTGCAGATCCATCTTTATAACAGTGTTGTGCTCTATACTCGGCATCAGGACATGGTCTCCTACAACTGTCCCCTGTCCTGCCAATGCCACTTTATCAGCCCCGTGCACCTAAAGGGAAAAAGTGACACGATTTCAGCGTTGACTGTTATTTACATATTATTTGGGTATATAATAATCACAATAGGAAGGGCATCTTTTATCCGACAAACATTTAATTCAGCTATCACTTAGCCTTCATGTAAGGAAGAAGTGATGTTTGTTTTCTGTCATGTCTTTACCTCTCCCCATCTCTGTGAGTGCACACAGAATGATGTCACCACATTCTCTAAGTTGTTCCCACCAATCACAAACAGCCTGTCAGAGGCACCCAGGAAGTAAAGAGCAGGGAGGTCTGCATCTGCTCTGGTGAGGGTGGGAAGCAGTTCAGACCAGGAGTCTTAACAGACAAAGAAAATACAGAAGCACATTGATTTCATACATTTACATTAGTGTGTTAAGAAGTCTTCTGGAACAGTAAGAATAAGAAAAAAAGAACCGATATTTCGCTTGCCAAAAATGCAGGAGTGTTCTCTTCTTCCTTACCTTCTCTTGTGTTGTACTGAGAGCGTTTGCAGATCCATCTTTATAACAGTGTTGTGCTCTATACTCGCATCAGGACATGGTCTCCTACAACTGTCCCCTGTCCTGCCAATGCCACTTTATCAGCCCCGTGCACCTAAAGGGAAAAAGTGACACGATTTCAGCGTCGACTGTTATTTACATATTATTTGGGTATATAATAATCACAATAGGAAGGGCATCTTTTATCCGACAAACATTTAATTCAGCTATCACTTAGCCTTCATGTAAGGAAGAAGTGATGTTTGTTTTCTGTCATGTCTTTACCTCTCCCATCTCTGTGAGTGCACACAGAATGATGTCACCACATTCTCTAAGTTGTTCCCACCAATCACAAACAGCCTGTCAGAGCACCCAGGAAGTAAAGAGCAGGGAGGTCTGCATCTGCTTTGAGGGTGGGAAGCAGTTCAGACCAGGAGTCTTAACAGACAAATGACCTCACGGCATTTCCCACCATACTATTTTCGCGCAGTTGGAGATGCATCTTGGGTTCTTAGCAACTATCATCAATGTCTCTTTGTCGCTTAGCGGTCTGGAGTGCTAATTTGCTTACAGGTTATTAGAATTGGCTAAGAAATCGAGAAATTGTCTAAGTTGGAGTTTACAAGGGGCCTTGGAGATGCTTCAGAACGTGGTCAGTGATGATTCTGATGCAGGGGACCTTAAAGGCTTTATATGTGATTTTTTGATCCAGCAGATGTCGCCCTTGAGCACCAGCATGAAACCAAAACAACTCGCGCTGCATTGTTGTGTTAGCATGCTAATGCTAGCGATCTTTATTATGCTGTTATCTTCACACTGCATGTAAATTTACCTGAAATGAGCGTGATCTAGAAACACAGTTAAGCAGTGAGTACAGTATGTTATTCTTCTTTTCTCTAGTCCCTCAATTAAACAACTTTTATACACGAGGGGAGGAGTCAGCCGGCCGTCCTGGCGATGTAAACAACGTGAAGATAGGACTCTGAAAACTCTGAAAGCATCACAGACAGTGGGACTCGGGTGTTACACCCATTGTAGACAGTCATGACTCACAGAGTTATTTTCAGAGGAGATACTTGATTTCTACATTAAAGTGTGAAAGATCACATAGAAAGACTTTTAAAAATATATCTTAACACAATAAATGCATTAATCTCTCAATTGGGTATTTATCATGAGAGATCATAGATTAGAATCTAGCGGTCAAAATGGCTGCTACGGCAGTTCTAGTAGTTATGGAATTCCGGCACTAACTAGTGTTAAAGTCATTGACAAAGAGGACAGAAACCTCCACGTGTCCTCCCATGGATCATAGCGTTCCACAGCCGTATAAAGAGCAGTGCCAGAGTCCGGAGTCACCAAAGAGTCTAAGTGCCAGCCACCCACAGCATATATGTTGCCTTCACAGGCCACTGCACTGAAGTGCCGTCTGTGCTGTGGAAGCAACAGATTGGAGTCAGTCTTCATTAGTGTTTTTTAGAAAAGAAAGAGAAATGCTTGCAAAGTGTCATTACACATGCTGAACGACTGTCTAACCTTAATCAGGGGAGCTGTGGCCACCCATGTACGCGTGAATGGATTGTACCTAAAGGAAGCCATCTTGAACTCCCAGCCTCTCTTCACACGCTGCCGGAAGCCTCCTATAATGTACAGGTAGTTAAACAGGACCGCTGTGGTGAAACACCACTTCTCAGCTCGGAAAGGAAGCTCTGTAACCAGACGCCAATCGCCGCTGTCCTCTGACCCTTTCAGAGTGAACATGTGCCGAGCGAGTTCTGTTTCTGGGTCATTCCAGGAAGTCAGATTCTCCTTTCTGAGGCAGCACAGACGTCGGCCTCCCTGTGTTCTCTGGCTCACCACCTCGGCCCAATCTTCTTCGTTCAGAGTCCTATAAGGTATGATTGAGACAAGAAGATAAAAAAACCCCCAAAAAACCCGAGTTCAGTCTTTGTTGCTAATGCGAATTAATTCTCGTCATGTAAACATAAAGTTAAGTGTTACGTACTTGATGAGGTGAGGTGCCTCCAGCAGGTTTTTGCTCAGGTAGGTGAACACGGTCGTTTTCAGCTCCTCGCAGCAGATCTCCCGGGCCAGCCTCAGGTAGGACAAACAGTTACCCGGGCTGAGGACATCGGACAGGTCTGACAGGCACTTTGAGAGGAAGTCCACGGCCAGGAGGTAACAGCTGACCTCCAGAAGCAGAAAAAAAAGGACAAGAGGCAAGAGGTGGTTTGAATGACATTTCAATTTTTGCATAGAGAAAACAAAAGCTCAGATAAGTCAACACGCAGATCTGAAAACCTGGATACCTGGATGTGTGAGGCCAACTCCTCTGGAAGGATTTCAGATTTGTTATAAAAGGAGAACTCCAGGAAATGATAGAACACAGAGGAGGACACGTGGTCCAGGTGGATGAGGTTCTCTGACGTTTCTCTCATTCTGGACCGGGATAAGGCTCGGAAGTACTCGCTGCACTCCGAGAGTCTCCCAAGGTCGACCTTTTAAAAGATGAACCGACAATTCACAGTAACTGTAAACTCCTGTTAAGTTTGCTATTAAGTCAACACGGTTTCTGTTCATTAACCTACATGGAATGCATGTGTGCTGGTTTGGACTGTAACCATGGTTTCGCCTTCGTCTCCATGGTGATATGTGCGACGGGCTTCATTGGTTTTCCACTTCTCCGAGTCTGGTTTACCTGATCTATCTTGGATGTTATTTTGTATTGTCCAACTTTTTTTGGATGCAAAAACACCCTGAAGTCTTGTTAGACCACATTTCAGCCACAAGATTATCCACTCAAAAAGTGTCACCAAACATCGCCTGATGGGACTCATCTCACCCGATGGTGTTTTAGATCTATTTGTAGACCAGGTTTAATACACGCGTTATTGGATTATTACTTCTAATGTAACACTCACAAAACAACTGCTTCTCATTAAACATTCAGAAACACTGGCACTGTACCCTGAAGAATTCCAAACAGCCACTGCAAATGGAAAAAAAAGAGAGGATGGAACAGTCAGTCGCGGAACAGCTGAGCAGTACCAGAGATTCAGTATCGCATGGCAACAACAGAATAAGGCATGTAGGAGCCAAGTTACATTCATACATGTTAAAGGCTTTATATGTGATGTTTTTTCACACTTAAATATAATATAAATCAAGTATATCTTCTGAAAATAACTATGTGAGTCATGACTGTCTACAATGGGTGTAACACCCGAGTCCCACTGTCTGTGATGTTTTCAGAGTTTTCAGAGTCCTATCTTCACTTTGTTTACATCGCCTGGACGGCCGGCTGACTCCTCCCCTCGTGTATAAAAGTTGTTTAATTGAGGGACTAGAGAAAAGAAGAATAACATACTGTACTCACTGCTTAACTGTGTTTCTAGATCACGCTCATTTCAGGTAAATTTACATGCAGTGTGAAGATACCAGCATAATAAAGATCGCTAGCATTAGCATGCTAACACAAGAATGTAGAGCAAGTTGTTTTGGTTTCATGCTGGTGCTCAAGAGCGACATCTGCTGGATCAAAAAATCGCATATAAAGCCTTTTTGGGTTGAAAGTTAATCTTTATGTTAGGGATTTCATTGTATGAGTTAAATTATAAAATGTATTAAAAGTCAGCTAAAGGTAATTTGATTTAATCCATGTGGATTTTCTGTAAAGTTAAAAGCAGTATGGTATTGCTGTTAGAGCAGTGAGCCAGGTTACTGTCACTTTAAGAGAGAGAGAGCTCTTTAGTGCTGTGGGAGGGTTAGGCTGGTTTCAGGCAGTTGAGGACCGAGCCACATGGTTTCTTTACCGTAGTATAGTTCACTGATTCAGGAGAACTTGACTTTGAATCATCCAGTAATATTGTTTAACAAAACTGTGGAATAAAGGAATTTGTTTTATCAGTGTCACTTCGGAGTCCTGTGGAAGTTTGTTCCTCTTTCAAGTGAACATAGACGAGTAAATCCAAGGCCATTTGCTCTTCAACCCAACACAAGGCATGTGAAAGAAGACGGATCAGAGCACATGAGCACGCGGCTTTATCTTCAACACTAAAATCTATCTTTAAGTGTGATTTTTCACACTTAAATGTAGAAATCAAGTTTATCCTCTGAAAATAACTCTGTGAGTCATGACTGTCTACAATGGGTGTAACACCCGAGTCCCACTGTCTGTGATGTTTTCAGAGTTTTCAGAGTCCTATCTTCACTTTGTTTACATCGCCTGGACGGCCGGCTGACTCCTCCCCTCGTGTATAAAAGTTGTTTAATTGAGGGACTAGAGAAAAGAAGAATAACATACTGTACTCACTGCTTAACTGTGTTTCTAGATCACGCTCATTTCAGGTAAATTTACATGCAGTGTGAAGATACCAGCATGATAAAAATTGCTAGCATTAGCATGCTAACACAACAATGCAGCGCGAGTTGTTTTGGTTTCATGCTGGTGCTCAAGGGCGACATCTACTGGATCAAAAAATCACATATAAAGCCTTTAACATGTATTTTAAGACTGACACAATGTCAGCAGAAAGAAACGGTGCTCGACAACATTCTGAGCAAACATTCTTTTAATTTATAATTTAATAGTGCATGAAGGACCAACATAATACAGAGAAGCAGAATGAACATTACACTAGTAGGACATGAATACTTAAAAAAAAAAAAAAAAGAAACATACAGGTAGTTCAAGATGCACAGTTCAGCTTCTAATTTCGTCCCATAAGTAAACCGATGAAGCTATGAGCAAAGACGGAATCAAGTCGATGATTTATGACTATTCAGTGCAATCTGTAAAATACAGGAGGCAGTCCAAATATAATAACAATACAGGAAGTAAAAGATGTACAAACATTTGTCAAACCACCCCCTTTCAATTGTTTAAGCTCAAACAGTCTAGTCAAAAAGACACAATGTGACTTAATGCCAACACAGTTTTCAATGATTGTTGGATATAATAAAGGGAATTAAAGGTGATGATCACATTTTTACAGTTAGGAAGAAAAACAGATGTTTGGAAATTCCAAGCTACGATACATAAGAACATAAAAAGCTTTGAATAGTATCAGAGCATACAATCTCTGATCAGTCTGAAATTTAAATTAAAAAAAAAAAAATACAAACGTTCAGTCTGAAGAGTTTCTAAGATCAAATATTACAGATTTAAATGCCATGATTACAGTGACATTATATTAAACAGAAGGCTTCTAACAATGACATGTCGATGAGTGTTTCACTTAATAACAAGGATGGTGTTTTCCATCAGGCTTAAAGATCAATACACGCTAATTCAGAATTTAAAAAAAATGAAAACAAGTGAGGTAGAAAGACTCAACACCCAAAAGCCTTCAACACTGAACTTAAAACTATTTGCTTTAGTAAACAAAATAACTATCACAGTAAGATTTACTGTCTGAACTTCACAATCTGTGGTGCCCAAAATTGACTGTTGCAAATGATGGTTGCCAGAGAACAACATACAATGCTAGAGCTACGCGCTCTAAAAAAACCTTCACACTATAGGAATATGCCTTCCAGTAAAAAATGTTCTACCTGCAGGCATGTGATTGTGCACCATGATCAAATGTTAACCCACTTTGCTTTTCATGGGCAAAGCTGCATAGGACTGCAGTTTCATTCAAATATGGCTGAATAGGAACCATAACCGACGAAACAAGAGCATGAAGAATGAAAAGGAAAGATGAATGAGACGTGATGGAGGGAATCAGGAGAAGAGCTTCTTTTGTTTGAAGTAGGCATCAAAACGACACTGAGCATAGTCCTGTAAAACAATGTGGTTTACTATAGGGCAGAGCATACGACAAATTAACTTTATATACATGAAAACATTGATGTGTGTGCAGCTTGTGTTTGTATGAGTCTGTAGAAGAGAGAAAGAAATGTCCTTACCATGTATCCAAACTCAATCTTGGATATCTTTGCTTGAATGATTGACCACAGGCCCCACAGGAAGTGTGATGCCAACGCGTACCTACAAATCAAAGCAACACTCATGGTGAAGAAACACAGATCATTTTTGAGAGAACTCTTTACAATTTATATTTCAATATTGCTGTTGCTTGTTAGATGACCTCGTGTTACCTGTTAGCCTCAATGATCATGTCCTCCTCCATCTGTGTCTGGTCCATAGGGATGTCAGAGTATTGTCTCTGCTCTGCTAAATAACCTCTGATAAAATGAAGCTGGAAACAAAGCAACATGGTTTGTGACACATTCATGTAACAAGATTTCTATTTTTCTTTTATTTATAACATCGTTATTTGTCACAAAACAAACTTCTGGTTATATCAGAAAATATTCAACATTTGCTTTTCGTCGTAATTTTTTCTGTTTGATTTTCTCTGAATACATTTTTATTTCAATAATAAGGGACAACTGGACGGCTCCTTCAAGACAAAACAAATAATTAAAAATGTGATTTGCTGAATGTTGGGCTTATTTTGATAGAGCCCTAATTTAAAGCTTGAAATGGTAAGAGCATATTTTTACCAGTAGAGGGCGCTGTTTGACGATAACACAAGTCATTTATATTCCATAAATATATAACCTTGAATCTTTGATTTAAAAAACCCAATATCAATAATAATAATACATTTTATTTTTAGGTGCCTTTCAAAACACTCAGTCACCTTACGAAGCAGAGTTTAAACTTTACAGTTACACAACAACAAATCGATAAAATGAAGATTAAAAAGATAACAATGTATAAAATCATTGTGAAGAGGACTCATTGGACAAGACAGACAGTGATCAAACAGAATATGCTAAAAAGTAAAGAGGCATGTTAAGTATCAGGCCAAGTTGTACAGGGAGGAGTTTAGAAAAGTAAATATTGAAATAGTAAATATCAGCTTAAAACCAACAAGTCTTTCAGGGTAAGCAATATATCGTCTTTGACTTCCTGAATGATTCCCCTTCAAATAACTTCAGGCTGTATCTTCCATCAAAAGGATCACCTCTACCTGAACTATTTTAACTTTCATATCATAAGAAAAAATCACTTTGAATCTACCATGAAGCTATAACCTCTCTTTCTTTTATATATATATTCACATTTTCTAGTACTTTTGTCAGATCATATTATTCTATACCAAGCATAACTTACATTCTGAATGAATGTCGTCATTGTGAGTAATGTGAGCCACTGTTAGCTTTAAAGTTAGATAGACGGTATGTTATCAGATCTAAGTGGTATGGACTGACCTGCTGCTCTCTGGTGGGATAGTCCTCTGGGGTGGCTTTGTAGAAGGGCCACTTGTTGTAGGTGTAATCATACATCCACTCACAGAAATGGTTCCCAAAGTCAAAACCCCTGCACAGAAATTTAAATCATCATCATCATCATCATCATCATCATCATTATCATTATTATTCAAATGCACAGGGGAAACATTCAAATATGAACTCAAACAAGTCATTTCTAAAAACAGAAGCTATCAATACTGATGATGTGCACCTCAATAAAACAAATGTGTTTACTCGTACCTGTAATTGTAACTGCTGTACTCAAAGTCTATCAGCATGAGGTTATCTGAGGAGGTGCGTTCCTCATCTTCCAGCATCAGAATGTTACCTGACGCATCAAACAAGACGTGAGAAAACC